GAATTTGCTGGGTCCCTTCAACTGCAGAGGCACCTTTTCAGTAATGGTGGAGTTTGCAACTGGTAGAAGACTGCTGAAACATCTTCCAAGATAATAATGCCCACTCACATCATAAAGAGTTCATAACCCACCTACTCTCAGCAGCCAGAAACATCATAGCCAGACACTGGAGAGACCTGTCAGGAGTAAGCATGGACCAATGGTACCAATTAATATGAGAAACAGCCTTATTAGAAAAACTGACCATTAAACTGAAACTGACATGGGGACAAACTGAAGAAGACGCCTTCACCCCAGTATGGCTCCCCTTTATCACATACACAGCCCAACAAGATGACAAGAATCCACCAACAGCATACAAATCGATATGGCTAACCTGATTCAAAAACACCCACCCACCCCACTCACACATGAAAACAAAGTTCACCACAGCCAATCACAAACAACCACACCCTAGGCCAACTCCAACCTCTCTCACCACCAAAGGAACACAAGCGAATAGTAAAGAGAACCTGCACAAGCGACGCTGACACAAAACCCCACACATACACTAAGTAAAATAGAAGCATTGCCACCCGACTCCACCCCCACTCACCATGGCCCCCTCCACCTCTGTCCCCCTTTTCTTCCTAACGTAACAGTAATGTCTCAACAAATGAAACGGATATGTAGAAAATGTAACTTGAAAAAAGAGACATTGCACATTCTTTTGTAAACCAAGAAATCTTTAATAAAAATATGTTTAAAAAGAAAAAGAAGAAGACTGCTGCTCATCTGATGGTTGACTGATGCCATGTCCAGGTTCACTATCCACAACACCACACCATCAAGGCAAGACTGGAACCAGGCATTTTTGCTGCCCGAGACAGAGCAAAAAATGCCACCCCCATTATCAACAACAATCAAGGTGCATAATACCCAAAGCTGGCCACATTCTTTGGCACCTGAGGCAGAAAGTCCCACAAGTCTCTCTCCATACTTAATAGTAAACATAATAAATAGCATACAATTTTCTGCCTTTTCATGACACCCAGAACAGCTGCCTGAGGTGGCCACCTCATTTCCCACCCACAATGGCTGGAGTGGCCCTATATTGTCAAGGGTGGTTTCAAGAAGTGACAGAAACAAGCAGGGAACAGGCTGAGCAAGCAGGCAAAATGTAATTGGCCGGCTATAAATACATCTTGCCCCAGCAGCTAATCTTCTGTGATTTTCTACCACTGCTTCATCCACCTACATGAGTAACAAGCCTGTGACCTCAAGCTTATTAACTGTGTCTCTTTTCATTGAGTTCCTCCATTCCTTCTTCTAAATCAGATTATGAAGAAGATAAAACAGAGTGGTCAAAACAATATACTCTCGCCCTCTGAATGAATTAATACCATGCCAAGAGTGGAAAATTAAATTCACAGCCCCAAACACACAGGCTACCAACCAATTCCTTTGCTCTCTGGTGCAAGCTACTGACAACCACCTTTTAGGAAGCTGGCCAGCAGCTGGGAATCACCCCCACCCTCCAACAGATTAGGGACACTGACACACACACACACACACACACACACACACACACAAAGTATTTTCCCCAAGGAGATGAAGGCTCTCCCCCTCCTCATTTAATTCCCACAACAACCTTGTGAGGTAGGTTAGACTGCCCCAAGCTCCCCCAGTGAGCTTCAAATTTGAGTGGGGATTTGAATCCTGGTCTTCCAGGTCCTAGCCTGACACTCTACCCACTACACCACAGGTGCTTGGTTGCTGTAGCATTTGTCACTAGTGCATATCTGCCTATTTGGTGGTGCTGCCTGATGTGTGACAAAGCATGGCAAAAGACCTGGCTCATGGGAAGCGGGTAAGGTGTTGGTGGGGGTGGGGGTGGGGATGTAGAGAAAGAGAGCTTCTATAGCAGAGATGCTCACCTGCTCCAGGGCCAATATGGCAGCTTGGATGATAGGAGCTTGGGAGGGGAAGAAACAGGCGTGTCTGACTTCCTTAAGGAATGAAGCAGAAGCTTGAGAAATCCCCCAGAGTCTCTTAGCACCCATAAGAATATAGAGACACATTAAACCTCTATGCTAAGGCATTGAATCTGAACCCTCCTCTTTCTTCCAAGCTGAAGTCAAACAGGTGGCCTGTGGAGTCCCCTCTCACTAGCTGAAGGAGCAGACCCTCCCACATTGACCTGTCCAGGTGTTAAGGAAAGCTGAGGAGGCCCTCTTGGCAATGCAAGGGCCATGAAATGGAATCTGATTCCCCTTCTTCAAGAGATGAGAGTGAGGCTCCAGAAGTAAGTCCGTCAAATGAGTCTCATGGTTCCAATGCCCTGTTGCTCTAGGGTGGGCTAGGCCCCTTCCGCTTAAGAGGCACATTTCAGTGACATCAGAGCTTGCAACTGCTTCTCCTTTAAATGGCTCATTTACAGGCTGACTGGTGCTAGAACAACATCTGAGCTCTGCTCCCAAATCATACTCCTCCTGAACCCTACACAAGGCTTCATCTTGGAAGAGGTGAGGACTTGCATCACAATAGCTATAGCCCTCTGTGGTTCAAAGGGCAGTGGTGTGAGAGAGGGTCTGCTCTGTGGTGGCCCCCAGGTCGTGGAATGTCTTCCCTTCTAAGGCATACAATGGCACAATATGTGCATTTGTCAGGATGCATCTCTTTACCCCTGCATTTAGTAGAGTGGAGGTCTTCCCTCCTTCTGTTCTGCTGTTTGGTTGACTTTGTCAATGGTTAGTTTTGTGGCTTTATTTTATAACTTAACGATAATTTGCATATATTTTAAATATGATCTTTTTGTAACTCTCCAAGGGGCCGTTTGGTGAAGAGTAGGCTGTAAGAACAAATAGTGAAATAGATCAATATCCTGCTGCCTCACAGTATGAATGTCAGCCTTTGTTGCAAAACCTTAGCTGTGCCTTCACATTTTCCAGCAAAACTTCCACCATACAGATGTTGCTGTTGTAAAAATGGAGCCAGAGGGGAGCTTGAAAATACAGCCAACAAGCTGGATGCCTTAACGTGAGCCTGAGCTGACCATACAGCCTCCAGGAGGGTTCCCTCTCCTTATAGTTTTGTCCTGTGAAGGATATATTGGCTTCAGAAAGGCAACTGGTGTAGATCTCTGCCAACAAAGTAGAGAGCAAGGGACAGGGCAACACTGTGGCTTGGTGATTTATTAGCTACCAGGCTCAGCTGGCTGGTTGGGACATCCATGATTTGCTAGTTCCCAGAAGAGGTTGTAATCTTGGCTTGTGGCTGGCTCCCATCAGTTCTCAACAAAGAGTCCAGATTTTCCATTGTCGAAATCAATGGGATTTTGTTTTCCTTTTTTTGTTTCATGTATTCATGAAATGAGTTGGGCTTTGTGGCTACAGATGGGCACAGGCTGGCTGGTGAATTCCAATCTGTCCAGCATAGCTCTTTCAAGACTTGGCTCCCAAGAGAGGCTTGCGAGCAAATGCAGTTGCACCCAAGGTTAAGCAGGGCTGCCTATTATGCCAAGAGTTCTTTAAAATATATGTATTTTAGGGAGAATTCCATTATGTAATGGAATCTGAGATATATTGCGACCCCCCTTTGATATTATATATATATATAGTATATAATCACCCAAAAGCTGCAACTTGCTCATTTTACTCCTCAAGTAATAATTATTATTATAAGCAGGAGGGAGGAAAGGAATTTATAGCATCAACTTCTCTGTTGGAGAGACGCCTTCTTGCAACCGGCGGCTCAGAGCTTCCTGGAGCTCCGGGAGGGACTATTTGGGGGCTGAGTAGAAGAAAGAGGCAGGTTGTTTTCCAGAAATGCATCTGGAGCCCTTGCTTAGACACGAAGGAGGAAAGGCGTCATTATTTGTCATTATTGCTGCCGGTCCCCTTTCGCCCCCGACTGCAACTCTTGAGATCCTCTGCGTTTTGCCGAGCCTGCTGATATCATCCTGGCTGCTGCTAATATATAAACCAGCATATTGCCCTCCCACTTACAGATTGAATTCTCACCCCAACATTTGCTTTAAATATCCGTGCTTAAGTGCAGATTTCTTTTGCTCACTGGGGTGGCAGCTTGCCAAGCTGAAGGGAAGCAAATGGAGGGAAGCTGATAAAGGGCGGAGAGCGGGGAGAAGGGAGGATTTCAGGTCCTGTGGAATGCCTAAGATGGGAATAGACTAACATGTGGCCACACAGTCTCCTAAATCAAAATTCAAAGTGGACCCTGGGGGTCTTACTTGAGAGAAACACTTTGGGCCTTTTCTAGGATAGCAAAGCTGGCTTTAGTAGGATTTGTGAAATTTCTTCAGTGCAGGGGTAGCTAATTCATGGCCCACAGGACATACCTAGACCTCTAGAGCACCCCACCTCTGGTCAGACAAAATATTTGGGGCAAAAAGAATTCTGATTATACCAGAGATGGTGCTCTCATCTTGAAGAATGGTGAGAGTCTGATAAGCAGGCTGAAGGTTTCCTATTCCCCCCAGCTCCCTCACCCCAAGCTCAAAAGAAGGCATTGATGGTGTGCAGGCATTGTTTCCTGTTACTAGACTTTATTAGGTAGAAGACGTTGCTTTGCCAGATTCCTCAGACTCGGAAGACTTCATTATCCCTCAGAACACAGGAGACAGCGGCTGCAGAGTTGGGCAACAGCTCTGGCCCAACAGCAGTAACTGCTTGGTGTCAGCATCCAGAAGGACTGAGATATGTATATTTGAATGTCATTTGGCCTGGCATGCATTTTTACAAGTGATATTTCCTAAGCGGATGCTTTATGCTATTTTCTCTAGCATATGCAATTTTTTAGCACAGTGTCTCCGTAGTATATGCATTTTGGGACGGGGTCTTTGATCGGACAACTGTATTGCAAAGTCCAGAGGAGTGTGAATCTTGAAATATATCCACGTCTCAGTTCATGTGTTGCTTCGGGAAGCATGACTTTGGTCGATTCTCATTAAAATTCAAATCGAACATCTCATCCCTACATGCGGCTTGGCTTGCTTAGATGAGTCATCTCATGTCAGCTTTGGCACACAGACTCGGTTTAGCTGCTCCCTGCCCACCACTGATGAAGGGGGTGGAGTAGCGATGGCCTCTTCCCCAGCCCCCTCTCTTGATGAAGCTGGCTCTGGAGAGGAAGACAAAGCAAGCACAAGAGTTCAGCTGTGTAAGGTGTGTTAAGTATCTAAGCAACGGGAGCCGATGTGGGAGCTAGTGCCATTGTTTGCAGAGTGTACTTGCAAACCTTCCTGCCTGCACGCATGCGCGCCAACAGATGCCTCTGTGTGCAATGAGACAATGTAACCTGCTGACACAATGTGGCCTAGCAATTATTTTTAGCTCATCAACATTTTCTTGCCATAAGAGAATCAGATCACAAGCCCCCACCCCCCATGTGTTGCACTGCCAGGGAGATCTACTGTTGCTCCCACCCAGACGAGAGGTCCAAAGTTGGCTAAGAGCAGGACATGAAGCCTCAAGTGCCCCTCATTTGACCAAGAAGGACAGCCCCCCAAAGGCCTGGGGCCAGTGATTCATGTTATGAAGGCAGGAACACCTGGCTGGGAAAAAGAAAGAAAGACTGAATTGTCAGCAGAACAACAATAATCTCATTTTTAATATTTGATGGGAGGGAGGGGTGGAAAAGAGATTTTAGAAAAAGCTCCCAGAGGAATCCTTGCCAGCTTTCCAAAGCACTTAATTCTGCCTCTTTCTTTCCATCTCTGGATCAGTCTGGGAGCATGACAGCAATTTTTGAAATGGTCTTTCTTTTTCTCCTGGAAGGAAGGAAGGAAAATGTATAGTGTGCCGAGCTACAATTCTTTTCATTTTTGTTCTTTTTCAAATCTAAATTTAATGGATCCCAACTGTTACCTGCCTCGTTAGAATGTATGTACTCCAGATTGCAACTATCCAGGTTGTTTTCTTTGCTTTAAAATAAAGGTCACAAGAGAGAAGGGAAAGGAACTGCTGTAGATCATGAGAACAGGAGAGCTGCATCTGTCCCCTGTGTATAGATGGTGGCACTTGGGCCCCACTCACTCATGCGGGAAGTGGGGAACTGAAATTCCCAGGATACTGTGCCATGTGCTAGAGGACCGCACAGCTGGTTCTACATGGCACATGCAAGAGATACCTGGATTATTCGCAGCAATGAAAAATGGACATTTATACACAATTCTCTCAAAGTGGGGGAACTCAAATTATATCACAAATAGTTTAAGTCCGTGTGTGTGTGTGTGTGTGTGTGTGAGAGAGAGAGAGAGAGAGAGAGAGAGAGATGGGGGGTGTTGAATTTTGTACACATATAATCCTAATCTGAAAGAGACACATTAGCAATCATTTTCCTATGAATATGGGACGTTTTTACTACTCGAAAATGTTTAACAGAACATACATAATCGGTCTGTGACAATAATTTGTTTTAAACTGTTTTTTATATTGAGTTTTAAATTGCTATAACCCACACTGGGACCTTACGATGAACCATGGTTAAGAAATTTGTAAATAATAATACTATATTTCTAGGCACCCTAGAAAGCTTGTATTTATTATGTGTATAGTTGAAGACACACTAATTGCTAACAAAGCATGAAATGAGAACTTGCCATTTGTAAACCTCTCCCTAGGAATAGGGGGCATGAGTTATATTCCCAAATGCTTAAAGTACTTCCAATTTTTCAAGAAGGTGAAAACTGGCACACACATAGCCCTCTAGCTGCTGATCACTAGAAAAGTATGAAGATATAGTAGCAACTCCTTGTGATAGGAAGTTCCAGTGGCTGGGACTTTTATAGAATCATTTTCCTTGTGAGGAGGTATAATGGAAGTTTTTTGTAATATCCCTTCCACTATTTACAAATATTTACACTGAGCATGGGCAAGTGGGCAGGCAGCCCCATCAAATTTCTACTTCTTCCTCATCAGCTCCAAGAAACTCAAACTTCAACTTTCTCTGACCAAATGCAAATAGCCATATGACTCCTAGCTAAGGTGTGACTTGTATTTCAGTGGTGTGGTATATGTATGTTTGTAAAACAGCTCAGAGTGTTTACTTGCAGCGGACCTGGGTTTCTTGGGTTTTCTTTCCTCGTGGGTCTAAGGGTCTTTCTTTCTTTCTTTCTTTCTTTCTTTCTTTCTTTCTTCACACTGATTGCTTATGTATGCACTTAAAACTCTTAATGTACATAAAACAAAAGTGGGTTTGCAAACAGACGCAACATGTAAGAGCCCCCGTCAAAGAGCTTCCATTCACTGGAGATCCCTCCCAAGTGTCCACTTGGGGCAGACCCAACTCTGGTTCTCAGTAATAGAGGAAATGGGCCTGGGAAGGACCGGGGTGGGAACTATAATGGTCAGGGGCTTGGAGAGTGTGGACAAAGAAAACAGAAAGAGCAGGGATGGGTAACTCTTGGAGCCCTCATGAGGGCCGGGGGGTTTGTTGTGAATTAAGGTCTCTGGATCTGTTGGCAAGAACCGCAATGTTTTGATTGGAGGGGAGGGGGAGGTATACTGCCGACTGGGTTTCCGCCAAAGCCTTTATCATGCTCTTACAAAAGTGAGGTGTGTAATCAGTTCCAAGCTAAAGGGGGATTTACTGTTTCTTTGGGGATTCTCAGAGCTCTCCGGCAACGAAATGGAAAGACTTTATCATCTGCCTCTGAGCTTTAGGGGGTGGCAAGGAGGGAATGCTGATGAATGGTTGGTGGGGTGTTTATGTGCCAGACTCTGCTCTCATGCAATTAACAAAGCTGGTAAAGGCTGGCAATTTATGCCACATCTTTGGTCTCTCCCACCAATACCAGTCTCAGATAATGGGATCATGCTGACATTGGCTTATCAGTGCTCTTTGCTCCAACTGGCTTGTCAGTTCCAATATAGACCTCCACACAGATATACTAGTGCTACCATGGGTATTTAGTTTCAGCACTGTGCTAGGAGCAGGACAGAGTGGTACAGAGTGGTTCTGAGCATTCAAAAACCCATCTAAGCTGAATCAAATGGACCCACTGCTTTACACAAATGTTCCTGGAAAAGCTGAAGCAGTCTCATAAAAATTCATCAGCATTTTGATGTGAATTTATGCTAATACACATATTTTTGCCTAAATATTTCCCCTAATACAGTGTATGTTATGCATGTTTTCTCAAATGTTTCCATTTTCATATATAGTTTGCCCCGGTATGTGTAGCGGGGGATGGGGACAGGGGACCTTACTTGAGAATAGCATTGCAAAATTCAAAGAAGTGAGAATTTCAAATGATTTTTGCATTGTTTCAGGAAGGGTGAATTAAGTAAGTTTACCTTTAAATGTGGACTGAATCAAATATATTTCCCATCCCATAAAAACAATGGTATCACACAGGCTAAGATCTGCACTGTCTACCTGATTTTGGCAGGTATTTCTGCTGTGCCAAAATAGGAACTTTTAGAAGAGGAAATTTGCCTCCACCCTATTGGCTGCCATAGTTCTACCCAAGGCGTCCTCAACCTCGGCCCTCCAGATGTTTTGAGACTACAATTCCCATCATCCCTGACCACTGGTCCTACTAGCTAGGGATCATGGGAGTTGTAGGCCAAAAACATCTGGAGGGCTGAGGTTGAGGAAGCCTGTTCTATCCTCTGTAGTCCAGGGTAGCATTCATGATTCACCTACCTAATCAAGTTTTCACCTGGATTCTCCCTGGAGATGTTGGGACTGAACCAGGGAGGGCATGCAAAGCAGCTTCTCTATCACTGAGCCACACAGCCCTTCAACAAGACACCCAATGCTTCCTATGCACATGTTCACAGAGATATTTAGGGTTAAGTTTCATACATGCAGAAAAACAACCTTGTTTCCTGCACACAAGCAAATACTTGGTTGACCCATCATTCACGCATGCTTAACACTTGAGGGCTGCATTAAGTGATCACTTGTATGTGTGAAAAAGCCAACACATGTCAAATGCTACAGACAGAAATTCCCTGTGCTTTTCAGTGGAGTTGGTTCACACATTCAGCTGCCAGTCATCAAGGATGGAGCAAACTGAGTGAAATTCCCCATGATGCTTACTGGAACAACACTGAACAGTCAAGAACTGATCTGAACAAGCTCCCTCATTAGCTTCCTTTTGTTGCCTAATTAATTAATGTTTACAAGACTCTAAGATCCTCTTCTGAAAAGGCACTGACAGCAACACCAAGTATTTTTTTATAATAGTAATAATAACTATTCTTATTATCATTAATGCTGATGATTTGCATTAGCCCCTCTTTCAGTTGCATTCATTGCCAATGCAAAGATGCCATTGGGAATTGCTGTCCCAGCTGAAATAGACCAAGCAGACCTGCCTTAAGACTAGAGTCTTGAAATTTGGAGTGAAATTACGACTTCTCTCAAATAATCTTGAGAAAAGGGGATTGTGAAGAAACGGGCCTTTGGGTTAAAGAAGAAAGAGCAGTATCATCATTTGTGATTGGCTGGCAGTATCTGTCCCCTGGATTGGCCAAGCCTACAATAAATATTAGGCTCCTAGCCCCAGAAGAGCCTTCATATGAGACCCAAGCTCCTGCTCAGGCTCAGCTGCCCTGCTCCAGTTGTAATACCAGACACTAGCAGTCTTGGAAAATGTATTTATTTAAAATTGTTTATATCTTCATTCCTCAGGAGATCAGAGCAATGTACAATAAATACAGTAAAAAAACAACAACCCAACAACCTACAACCACAGAATAAAATACAATGATGTAAAAAAACAGTATCAGATGCCACAGCAGCCAAAATATTTAGGATGACTCCAGAGTCTCTTTAAAAAGAAAAGGTTGTATCCAATGTTAGTCATACTCAGAGTAGACCCACTGAAATTCATGGACATAGCTAACTCAAAACCATGTCCTTAGAACTTAGAACCAGACACTTTGGAAATGATGTTGCTCAGTAAACTGAACTGGTTTAAATGGGGTTTTCACTGTCATGGGCCTGCTTGATTATTGAGTTGTAAGTCACCTGGGCATTTGAATTAATAGAAAAGAATTACTCTTAGGTTATGTGTATGAATAAATTTATGTGCTTTGGGGAAGGGCCATAGCTTAGTGGGAGAGCATGTAGAAGGTCCCTGGCTGAATCCCCAGGAGAGATTCTTGCTGTTGGTTGAGCCTTGCAAAGCCCATTGAGCTGGCCTTTGCAGCAATGCTGAGCAGCTGGTCACCTGTGTATGCAAACCCCTTTCAGCCAAGCCCCATCTTTACCTGCCCTGCACCTGGCAACATGTGTGGTGTCAGGTGTCACACAGGTAGGCGTGGCTCACCTGAAATGACCTCACAGGTCAACGATGGAGTCCTGGTGGGCTAGAAGATCCCACCACTGACCTCAGTCCTGACCTTGCTGGAGGGGCTTCCTGGGAAGAGGAAGTAAGAATAAATTTGGGTCACACATTCTTGATCTTCCTCTCTTCACAATGGGCTCTTGTTTGCCTTTATTTGTTACCAGCAGCCCTGTCAAGACGACGGGCCCTTCCTTGATAGAGAATATTGACAATGCCCCTAGGTTTCTGAGAGCAAGAGCGGCAGTTGATTTGCCAGGAGAGATGAGCGCTGTCTTGCGAGTCACCTCCAGCCCTCAGAGAATTTGGCCATATTGGGGAGATAAGATGAGAGAGGATTACTTACCACTTAGCTACATCTATCCAAAAACATTTAGCCCTGAATGGAATGCAGCTGTGGAGCCTAATTCAGGAAGAGGCTACCCAGGATCCTTTGCAGTGCTGCAGGACTTGCTGGGATGCAACGCTTGGGCTTTGCAATGTGGACATGGCTGATTGCAGTCTGCAAATTTAATGGGGACTGCAGATTGCAGTCTGCAAATTTAAACTCTGGGGACAATTGTGACACTGGTGGCACAGCATTCTAGTCCATGCTGGGGAAACCCAAAGTTTCCTGGCCACAGAGTAGATTCAAAAACACTTGCTGCTGACTATTACTGATGGAGCAGCTATATGATATTCATACAACCAGAAGCAGTATTCCTTTCGAGGAGGAAAGTGGTTTTCTTTGTACCGGCAGCTAATTAAAAGAGAGCATTCCAAGCTGCTCTACAGTACACTTCATTGTTTTCTTTATGGTTTAGAATCTGTCTCTGTGCCAGCCTCCCATTGAGAAACAAAAACACTTATCTTGTTCACTGCTATCACCCTCACTTTTATATATTTATCCCCTCTCTTTCTTCCTCTGTCTCTCCTCAAGCCTTCTTGGTCCCAGGTGCCCCACAGAGCAATGATAATGCTGCCTATCACCATCTCCATGTGACAGCTCTGAGCTGCTAAAGCTCAATGATTCGTTTACTAATTGCCTGCCCTCCCTCTTCCCAAATTTGCTGGGAATGGGACCCAGATTGAATCGGGTGCAGCCAAGGGAGTCCAAGAAACAGCAAGAGCAGAAGTGGCTGCCTCATTGCTGAGACCTGCAGGGAAGTCAGATGCAGAAAACTTTGTAGAGTATCATCCATGGGTTTTGGACTACAACTCCCATCAGCATGTTCAGATAATTTCAACATAGCCAATTCCTGCCTGGGCTATGAATTTTGGGAGGAACTAAAAGAATTGCAGCACAACAGAATGCCTATCTAGCCACTGTATTTTATCTAAGTTTGTTTTTTTTTATCAGATATTTATTAAGATTTTCAAAATATTACAACATAGAAAAAGAAAAAAGAAGAATATAAAAGAAAAATACAAAATAAAATTAGTTAAAAACAATTCAGTCTTTTAATCACTTATCTTTCATTTGCTTATTTCCCGGACCTTCTCACGCCTCCCTTTTCTGTATTCCAATTCAGTTTGTTAGTTCAGCAAATCCCTCCCCTCTTTGTTAATCCTAATTTTCAATCTTTTCAAGGACAGCAGTTTACCTTAGGGGACACAGGGCAACCCATATGTGGCACAAACAATTGTGTCCTCCAGTGTCTCCCCACCTATTCCCCAGGATCTGCTGCCTGAGGCCACTGCCTCCCTTTGTCTAACCGTAGGGCTGGCTCTGGCTGTGCAGCTTTCCCATTAGGCCACCCCTCTCTGAGGTGACACTTGGCAGTAAAAAAGAAGCAATGGATGTTCCCGAGAATGCTTTCTATGGCCTGTCTCACTCAGTAATAAGGTTATATTATTTTTATGGTAAAGCCAATACAAAGTCAATTAAAAGCGAAGGGGCGGGTAGGAACAATAGTCCACAGAGATTTGAGCAGCAGGCAGAAAAGGGCTTTGAGGGAGCAGTGCAGAGTGTTCTCTGGGACTGCAATGCGTGAATGCCCTCTGCACCTGCTGAAAATGAGAGATAGGGATGTGGGAAGGAGATAAGCCCCCTTACTGCATATTGATTCTGTTGGCCAAAGCTTTACTCCATGCCACTCTTCCGCAAGAGTCAGCAGATCAATGCTGGGTGACGCCAGCTGAGGATATGGCCCAGGGAATTTAAAAAGGCAAAAGCTAAACTGGTGAGGTGGCGGGGGATGGGTGAGGAAAGGTCATTTATTCCATATTTTGTTTTAAATCCCTTGATTCCGTCTCAGGCTGCTGGGGCGAGAAAACCGAGGGCCAGTGCTCTGTGATTCTGAATTGGCATGTGTGTGTGTGTGCTTTGACAAAGTGTTATCGCTTTGCAGAGTTGTCATAATCACCCAAAGAGGCAAATTCTATTTATTTGATGTTTGAATGTCTGATTCATCAGACATCCTCTGCCAAGTCCGGGAAACGGAGACAGTAGCGTGGAAGGAGCCGAGCTTCGCTTGTCTATCTCCAGGTCAATACATTTATTTTTGTGAAGGAAAGCTTCTCTCTTTCCTCGCATCCTCACTGCCCCCCCTCGCCACGCCATCCTCAATCCCTTTCTCAAATGTTTTGTTGAAGAGTAGAAGTGCTCTCTTCCATTGTCGGAGGCCTCTCTTCTGCCCAGAGAGAGATAAGAGGGGAGAGAGAAAATTGAAGGGTTTCCGACACAGCAGCTTTCCTTGGCTCACAAGCGGATGGCTGTTGTTGGTATGTTTATATCTACCAAATGGGAGCAGCAATTGAGTGGGGGGGGGGGAGTACTTCTTGAAATGAAATGGGGAGGGGCAGGGAGTGGGAAGGTAGGTGCCTGAAATCAATGGGGAGAGCAGTTATGATTAGTAATAGACAAACCTATCAGTTTCAGCTTCTCTCAGTTTCTCATCTTTCTTACTGTTATTTACAGTGGTACCTCGGGTTACAAACACTTCGGGTTACAGACTCTGCTAACCCAGAAATATTACCTCGGGTTAAGAACTTTGCTTCAGGACAGAAATCGTGCTCCGGCAGCACAGCAGCAGCAGGAGGCCCCATTAGCTAAAGTGGTACCTCAGGTTAAGAACATTTTCAGGTTAAGAACGGACCTCCAGAACAAATTAAGTTCTTAACCCGAGGTACCAATGTATATTTGTTTTATCTATTTATTGCATTTTTATCCCCCTTTCTCTCTCTAAGGAGCTCCAGGAGGGTGTACATGATTCTCCCTCGATCCTCATTTATTCCCCACAATAACCCTGTGAGTTAGGTTAGACTGAAAGGCGCTGACCAACCCAAGGTTACCCAGGGGGCTTCATGGCTGAGTGGGGATTAAGATGGTTGTTTACCCTCCGGCAATGGCGGATTTCCTCTGATCGGGAGGAATCCACTTCGTGAGAATTAGGGTCTGGACTGCCGCGGTGAGGCGGAGACCCATCAAAAACCACAGGCGGGAGAAGCCTGTGGACGTGGGATTCAGCTGGCACCTTTTGCGCCTCCCTTACTGGCGGGGAAACCCGGTTTCGGAAATGCGGAGCGACGTGGGGTGAATGGCGCGGTGCTTCGAATCGACTGCTCTTTTCACGGAGTGAAGTCGCATTGCTGTTGCTGGAGATCGCTGACTTATTCCTGTGGACAATTGGATTTTAAACAACTGCCCGTGAGTAGAACGGAAAATTGGACTATGAAACTTCTTAATTTGGCACCGAAGCAGGAAGGTCTAAACAGGAAGTCCGCCTTCCACTTTTATAAATAGATTGAAGCAAAGACATTGCAAGCTAGAGTCTGGAAAGTCGTTTGCAAAGGACTAAATTTCCATCAGTTAAAATTACTAAACCCCCCTTGGAAGCAGGAGAAGAGGGGGGAATCTTTTTAGACTGTTCAAACCTGCAGAAGAGAGAGTAAAGAAAGATAAATTTCCACCGTCTTGAACCTGGGAGCGGGGTGTCAGGACAGACGCTTTGGGGAAGTTCATTGACTCTGGATAAAATGTTTTTGACAGATAGTTAAAAAAGAGAAGCATATTGATTCCAATGTTCCCTTTTGCACTTAAAAGGAACAAAATATCTGAAAAATGAAAGGAACTTTGTTGCTAGATCTGCTCTTAAAAAGATGGATACAAATAGAAATTGTTTCCTCTAGAGGGAGCTTGTGAAACTGTTGTTAGAGTCGATCTGGGGAATTTTGCAGCTGTAGAGATTAAAGATCGTGAGACCAGACTTTGACCTTGAACAAGAATGTGCCCAGAAGAAGCTTTAGTGCTTGCTTTTTGCAAGACAAGCGCTTTACTGGAACAGCTACATGAGAAGATGGATTTGATGACTGTTGCAGTTGGAAATTTTGGACAAACAGTGAATACCTATATAGAAACCACTCAGGAATTAATCCAGGAAAGTGCTTTGACAGAGCAAGTGGTGAAGAAGATAAAGGAGGAGGTTGTTGCTGAACCTCAAGTAGCAGAAATGGAGAGAGCTGCGGCCTTGCAGGAACATAAGTTGTTTTTGACGACTGAACCTGGAGAAAGTCAGATTTGGAGAGATGGAGTACTGTTTGGTTTGGAGATGGGAAGCTGGATAGATCCCCCTATGCAGGGATGTTTTGGCTTTTCGGATCTGGCTTTGGGCCAGGGGGAGTTTGGAGTTGTGGGGGCCCTTAACCTTGGAGGGACTTTGAAACATGCCTTTAAATATCTTATGGATTTTAGTGTCGACTATGGAGAATGGGCTGACTTGTTGAGAAGGGATAAAGATATTGTCAAGTTGGACTCTCCCCGAGAGAAAGGAAGGAAATTAAGAATAAGATCAGCAGAAGATAAAGTAAAGTACAGGTATAAACATGAAGAAGACCTGCGGAAGGGACATGGAAAAGACTTAAGAGCCTCGGATAGAAGGTCACCAGGTTGATGGACTAGATGGATGGGATAGAAAGGACTGACAAAACCCGAGACCAGGAAGAAGAGACGATGGATGAAGATTGGAAGAAAGTTTTAAAAATTCATTTAGAAAATCATTGTAAAATTAATGAGTATTAGAAAAATGTTGGAATGAAACTATTTGGCTTTAGTAGAAATGTTAAAAAGAATTATGTATAAATATGTTATGCTAAAAAGAATTAGGTATAAATAAGACTTAAGTTTTAAGCTTTAAGGTTTTTTTATGGTAAGATAAGGTTAAAATAGATTAAGGTAATTTAACGACAGAATATTGTGAAAGAGGGAAAGGATTTGCTGAGATAATTAATAACTAGAATACAAAATAGGGAGGTGTGAGGAGGTCGATGAAACAAGTTAATGAAAGATAAAGATTTGGGAATATTGGATTTGTTTTTAAATTTTTTGTTTATTTTTGCTTTTGCTTTTGATGTATTGTGTGATTTGTTTTTTTTCTTTGACTTTTGTTTTTATTGACTTGTACTGTTTAATTTCTCTTTTTGTCTACCTTTTTTCCTTTTTCCTTTTTTGTTTTTTCTTTTCTTTCTCTGTAATTTTAAATTTTCAATAAATATCATTAAAAAAAATAAATAAGATGGTTGTTTACAAGCAGAGCCAGCCCAAGACATTTTGGCCCCTTAGGTGGATCCCAGAATGCACCCTTTCTCTGCCACGGAAGAAGGGGTGAGGAAAGTTTTACATCAGGAACAAGGGGGGGGGGAAGAAAGATCGACATTGGGATCTGCTGCCCCGGTGAATCCTGCCACCTGAGGCAGTTGCCTCACCTTGCCTCATGGATGGGCTGGCCCTGTTTAGAAGGCAATTAATAAATCAGTAATAATAATGATAACCGCAATCATAATACCTGGAGATGCCTTCTGCATGCAATGAAGTTGCTCTACCACTGCACCAGAGTCAAATAATAATAATAATAATAATAATAATAATAATATTTACACACCCAGTTCAAGAATCCCTACATACAGACATATTTAATCTCCCTAGACTCAAACGAATGTTCCAATGTAAGACAAAAGAATGCCATGTGGCAGGGCAGCCAGGGGATTTGCTTTATATAATTTGTCCATTTCTTCTTCTAGGTTAACCATGCATGCAGCTCCTAATGCTTTCAGTAGCCATTCTTTAAAGATGCAATAGTTTTTCCCAGTGTCTTGCATGGACAATCCTTGCCCCAATTAAAAGATTGACAATCACATTTTCACTTCCATTGTTTGATACATTCTGTCTGTACTTTGAGAGTAAAGTCAAAGCACTGAAAGCCTAGTCTAATCCTTGTTATCTGGTTAATTATATGAGAAATCTAGTGTGTCGAATAGCTTTGGATGTTGGGGCAACTCCACAACACCTGAAATAAGCCTTCATCCAAAATACCACATTGCCAGCATCCCAAAACAATTCATTTGATAAATCCTTTTCATTCTTTGTTCATTATCTTATCAGTCCTATTCATTCTTTCCTCCCCTTCCTCGGGCAAGGGCTGTGTGGCTCAATGTGGCACATGTGTTGCATGCAGAAAGTCTCAGGTTGAGTCCCCAGCATCTCCTGATAGAACTGGGAGGAACCCCTGGATGGAACCATGGAGAGCAACTGCCAGTTAGCATTGACAAAGCTGAGCTACATAGACCAGTGGTCTGTCTTGGTATAAGGCAGGTTTCTGTGTTCCTTTGAATGTCATGGATGCTTTAACTGAGATTCTTGCATGGCAGAGGGTTGGATTAGAGGACTCTTGGGATCCCTTCCAACTCTATAATTCTATGAATCATATATGCCGTCTGAACAGAATCTTAAACTGAGCCTTTCATGCTTTTTTACAGTGTATTATGGGCATTGTGCAGGTAGGAACAGGAAGTTTTGCAACCCTTCCAACAAAACAAAACAAAAACAAAGGAGAACAATTGCTTAGTTCCAAAAGGAGGCAGTTCCATGACTCTGGGGCCACTGCTGTCTAGACCCTGCTTCTTGCAGTATATATTTGTTTGCATAAAAGTGTAGAAACTTCTCATTTTGTGCAGCTGGAATGTAGGCTTGTGTACACAGGTAAGAGTCACACAAACTCTCCACCTACTTTTGCCTCTGGCCTCGTCCACCATAAGATTGGACAAAAATGCTTCCCCCTACCTCAGCGAAAGACTGCAAATAATGGGGACAGGATGCAATGCTCTGCCACAGCTGAACCTTTTGACTGTCCCACTTCCAATGTCTCTTCTTCTCTTGAATGTACTTGGAACTGGCCAGTTCTGTCCTGTGTATATGAGGGAAGCTCAGGCCAAAAGAAGTGACTACTGAGCCCAAGAACAGCGCAGAGTAAAGATGGGCAGGCAATTTGTGTTTTGGATTGACTCAGAAATAAACTGATCTGTTCGACAGCTTGTCTCCTTTCAGAGCCAATTTGAATGATACCAACCTGCACACATCCTCACAAACCACTTACCTTTAAACCTCTGCAAATGAGAGGGTTCAGGTGGCCAGAAACAGCCACCTCCTGGCTGCAGAAAGCTGTCATTTGCAGCCAAAGTTTATGGAGGTTTGCAATTTCCCACAGCCTCTGACTGCAAACACTAGGGACTTTCTATGTCATTTTGGAGCTTGGGTTTTGGAGAACTGGGTTGGTGAGAGGGGTGAATTTAATAACAAATGATGAATAGTAAAACATATATTATTATTATAAAAAGTGTCGAAAAGCTGATGGGGAAGTCTTTTGGAAGGCAATCTTGACCGAGAACTGCATTTTCTGGTGCCATACACACCACACCTGTTTTGAAAAGTGATCCTCAGATGGTTGGAGTCAATGCAGCTCTTGGCCTGGAAACCTTCAGCCATCCTTGGCTCTAAGGGATGGAGGAGCCCCTCTCCCCCACTGGCTGCACAAGGCTGCCTGAGGGTGCTGTTCTTAGGAAGCTGGAGTCTGTGGACCAGGCTATGCCACATGCTGCTGCTTCTCTCTGTGCTGCTGCCTCAGGATACCCTCTCTAGACTACAGATGGGTGAATATGTCAGTTTTGGTTCATAGAACCATAGAATTGTAGAGTTGGAAGGAACCACGTGGGTCATCTAGTCCAATCCCCTACAATGCAGGAATCTCTTTTGCCCAGTGTGGGGCTTGAACCCACAACCCTGACATGAAGAGTCTCAGGCTTTATCAACTGAGCGATGGTTTCTCTCTGTTTCTCATTTTTCTAATCTTATGTTTGGTTCTCCATATTTCCACATCAGTTTGTTTTTCCATGTCCTGGTGAAAATTCATCAATATTTTATTACAAATTTATCCTAATGTTCCCATTGCTGCACACAGTTTTCCCTAATATACACATTTGTGCAAATAAACTTCCCTCCATATACAGTGGTATCTCTGGTTACATACTTAATTCGTTCCAGAGGTCCATTCCTAACCTGAAACTGTTCTTAACCTGAAGCACCACTTTAGCTAATGGGGCCTCCTGCTGCCGCTGTGCCGCTGGAGCAAGATTTTTTGGCTAGCTTAGGCTTTTTGCGTATATGCATTTTTGTGCACATTACTTGGCTTGAGAGCTACCTTGCAAACTTCAGGGACGTGTAAATTTCATTGGATGGATATATTTTGGTTCACATATTACTTTGGAAAATGTGTATTGGATAGATTTGTTTTTAAATGGGAACTGCATTAAATGGCTCTCCCATCCCTGCTTTGGACTGGCTGCACCTCTCATTTTAAACAGCAAGAATTATACATGATTATTATTTACAGACAGATGCTGAAAAGCAGGAAAGATCCTCAACTCCCCCCACTTGGCTTTCCTTCCTGTTCTGTAACCTTTCCCCCAATAGTCACCCTAAAGGAAAAGATGTTCCCCTCCTTTTTCAGACACCAGTTCCTGCCTGATGGGGAAATAGAGCACATTCCTTTCAAGTTGCAAGAAAGAAGGGTGCTTCAGCTCAAGTGAAATATAGACATTTCTTTTCAATTTCTCTGGGAAGGCAGAGTCTCCTCTGAAAATACATTATTATTATTATTGTGTGTGTGTTTTTTGTAAGGTTGTGCCAAAATGCCCACTTTTCACTGCCTTCTTTACAGGTAGTAAAGCTGACAGCGGGGGGAGATTTCAGTCATTTTGCAGAGAGGGAGTAGGAGGAGAAGAAACAGACCTTCCTGAAAACTGTGGTGCTCTTTCTCGGGGCTGGCATCACCTTCCCCACTGCCACCAAAAATTCTTTCTTAGAACAAAAGGGTACCCACTGCTGTGAAGCACCTCTTGGTACTGTTTTGCTTGTTCCTTTCCTTTTTACTCTGCTTTTCCACTGCAAAAGACTGTCTGTCTGCAGGCTAAATGTTACAACACTAAAGGAAAAGGGATCAGGAGGGAGGAGGGAAAAGGCAAACTCAGGCACCAGATCATAGTTGCAGAGTTATTGGAATAAGCCACTTGGATGGAAATAGTTTTGGGCAGGGGGGGAGACCAAAGTGGCTGGTCTCTCACAGCTTAGCCAATGCTAGGGTTGCCATATTTTGAAGAACAACAACAACAAAAAGGACACAATTGCCAACTTCTACTTTTAACTATGGATCGCTATGACAACTCTCATTTTACATACCCATGAAAAAGAGGATGGAAAAAGAGGACATATGGCAACCCTAGAATGCTGTAGTCCTGTCTCTTCCTCTTCTAAAGTCTGATGGGGCAGTTGTTGCTAGATAAGAGAAAGTAGGGAGAACAGAGCACAGCCACTTTGGCTAGTAGCCATTGATAGACCTCTCCTCCACAAAGTTGTCTAACCCTCCTAAGGTGGCTTACAAAGCAGTCAGGAAAAATAAAATAAAAGATTAAACTTATGAGCTAACAAAAACAATAAAACAGCAAACGTTTAGTAAAGCTAAAACAATAGAAAGAAATAAAACGATGATTAAAATACCACACCATAAGATCACCCCAAAACATACTGGAGCAACAACAATAATAACAACAAAGGGCTTTCAGGGCTCTGCTATGGAAGCTTCTTGGTGGCCTGTTTGTTTGCACAAAATTTGGTTGCCCTTTGTAGTGCAATTATTCTGTCCCTTTTCTGGCTGCAGAAAGTCTGATAAGAAAAAGCGATGGAAAATTGCGCTGAAAGAGTGGGATAAATGACCACTACCTGGCAATGTCCTATAATCTCTGTGCAAACATTTCAGGATGACTGCTCAATAAACAGCTGATGCCAGAGAAGCTCTGTGCAAGTTTTGTGCAAATGTATCAGCAAGAATGTTCAATAAAAGCCAAGAAAGAAGGGGTGCATGTCCTTGTTTATTTCCTCAAATGAATATTCTGCCTCTCTTCGGTCATGGAACCTAAGGTGACTTATGCGTGGTACCCAGGCTAACACCCATCCAGGAACTCATTAGACCGAGTCCTGCTTAGCTTTAGCAAGGTGATGGCTTCAGCTCCCATCATCCCTGACCACTGGCCAAGCAGGTTGAGGCTGATGGGAGTTGGAGTCTAACAATTCCTGGGCTCCCAACCCCTGCTTTGCCATGCCTGAGGGCTGGGATCCCTTGCCTAATTGGCCGACAATGGCTCCCAAAGATTTCCAGTTTCCAGTTTCTCAACATCTCAACTCTTTTTTCTTGTTATTTTTTGCTTTCAGCCCAGATCTGACAAATGACCTCAAACCGACTGAGAGAGTGAGAAATTATGAGTTGGGGCTTTTCAGGGTTGTCAAAAGAGACATGCCCACATCTGTCATGGCTATAGAGAGAGGAAAGTACAGCTTTTAAAAATGGCCTTAAAATGAGCTGGGAATTGGGGAGGAAGTCACTGTGGGAGTGGAGAGCTCTGGCAGGCCTGTCGCCAAAGTACCCGGATGGCTGAGACGTCGGCTGAAATTAACGAGAGCCCAGAGATTTATGAGCCCTGCGGAAGCCCCAAATTGGACATTTATTCTGAAGGCTAAAGCAAATGTGGCAGCAGAATCGGCAGCAACTAAAAGCAGATCAAAGAGCTCCAAGAAAGGGGGGGGGAGAGAGAAGGGAGGGGAGGCAGACCAGGAGCTCATGCCAAGAGCTGGATTTCTAGGAGGAGAAAGGTGTAGGACTAGGAATGCCTGGGGGGTCCTGGGGAGCATCAAGTCCTGGTTGCATCAAGTCTCTTCCCACCCACCTGTTCCCTTTGTCATTTGTCAGATGCTTCTCAACTAGAGAGATCACTCAGTCAAAGGAACCTTACCTGATTAATCCGAAGAGTTTGAGTCCTTACATAAGTGATTAAATTTGCATAAATTTGCAGAGGAGTAAAAGAAAAAGTGTTATGACCTAAGAAGTACATGTCCTTTGCTGCGTGTGCCTGCATTGCAGTCAGGGCCGGATTTAGGTTTGATGAAGCCCTAAGCTACTGAAGGTAATGGGGCCCTTTATATGTCCAGCTGTCCTTTGTCAACAACAAATTATTGCTGTTTTTTGTGTTGAATATATGCTATATGGTAACTTGTGGACCTACACAACACAAAACACTGTTGCTGTATGTAGGTTTTGTTTTATTTGTTTTTTATCTTATATTTTGGAAATGTACATCCAGTTTTCCCCCTTTAAATTTTTTGGGGCTACGAACAGAGTGGGGCGCTAAACTATAGCTTGTTTAGCTTATACGTAAATCCGGCACTGGTTGCAGTAGACATCACCTTAGAATGGGGTGAGCGGGGGTGGGGGGAGGGATCAGGCAGGCCTCTTCACATGTTTTGGCCAAGCCACCTCCACTGTGCCAACCCACCCTATAACCAAGGACTGGAGAATCAAGCAGGCCAGATCCCTCCACTGTCATCTGGAGCAGCCATTCCAGCAATGGGGAAGAGGCACCTCATGCTCCTGAACTGTGCCAGATGGTCATAAGAACAATTGTGTAGAAATTGGTGCCTGAGTTTTGGTTTTGGTTTTCCTCTTCCCTCCTGGTCCCTTTCTCCTTGTGTGTTGTGTTTTTTAGATTGTAAGCATGTGGATAGGAAATGCCTTGTTTTTGATTATATGCAAACTGCTCTGGAAGCCTTTTTGACTGAAGAGAAGGACTCAAATGCGCTCTCTCTCTCTCTCTCTCTCTCTCTCTCTCTTTCTCCTTCCCCCAATCTCTACATTTCCACATCAGTCAGCAATATAATTTGTTAAAGTCCTCATGAAAATTTATTAGTATTATACTGTGAATTTCTACCCAACAGTTTTTTTTATACAGTGGTACCTCAGGTTACAGACACCTCAGGTTACAAACACCTCAGGTTACAGACTCCGAGTAGCTCGGGTTAAGAACTTTACCTCAGGATGAGAACAGAAATCGCATGGCAGTGGTGCAGCAGCAACAGGAGACCCCATTAGCTAAAGTGGTACCTCAGGTTAAGAACGGTTTCAGGTTAAGAACAAACCTCCAGAATGAATTAAGTTTGTATTCAGTTTTGCTTACACATTTAGACAAATCAATTCCCGCTATTATAATACGATTCTGTATCTTATTTTCACTAAAATATGCATTTTTATGCACACTTTCTCCATATATATGTGTTTTCATACGAATTAGTTAGTTGGGAAACTCCCTAGCAAAATTCTTCTAAGTGTGAATTTCGAAGGATGGCAGCATTTCGGGTCACGTGTTGTTTCAGGAAGTGTGACTTAGATAAGTTTGTCAATAAATGAGAACTGAACCAAATCCCCCATCCCTACCCACACCTATTATAATACATGATTTTAGGGATGGGGCAGGTAAAGATGCAGCTGGGTGGATCCAGGAGGGCCCCCAAACTACAGACAATGGGTTGAATCCAGTGCTAGCCCTTCTCAGAGTAGACACACACATGTGTGAATGCCATGGCAGTTTACGTCACCATGTGAACCTGCTCCCACTTGGGGTCAGATTAAATACTTGACAGATATGGTTGAATTCTGTCCACCACACACCTACACATGTGCAGCACATATGAAATGGCACACCAGCAAAGAGTTTTAAAAATAAATAAATAAAAGTTTAAGTTCCCGCTAAAGCAGTACTCAGCCCCTTCTTCATTAGAGCTAAGTGGAAATTTTCCACTTTCTCAAAATTGAAGGGAATCTTATGTAGGGCTGAGGCTCCCTGAGCAAAGAGCCAGTCAGATTAATCAACAGAAACCAGACACGCAGAATCCACACACACACACACACACACACACACACACACACAGATGTTCTGCTCAAGACAATTGATGGCTGCCCTCCCTTCCTCTCCAGAAACATCCTTCCCTCTTGCATCCTGATAAACAAGGGCTTCTTCTCTCCTTGTTCCCCAAGTTTATTAAGCTCTCAGCCACTCACCGCTGCACCTCCCCTTCCTATGACCTCTAACAATGATAATGACTCTGCTGGTGATGTGCAAACATGTCTTTTGACTCTCCTGCTTGATTGATAAGGAGACACAAGCCTCCTCCATCCCAATGCAGCTACAGTGAGAGCTTCTCTGCCCTGGCTCAGTGGGTTTGCTTTGCTCCTTATTTGAAATCTCGATTTTAAAACTGCAGGGCCTTAAAAAAAAATCCTCTGTATGGGATCCTGGGTTTCCAGGAGACTGGACATGAAAAAACCAACTCCTGAGACCCATCTTACATCGGCCACCCACCTGGACTCTCTCTGGGATAATTCTATGACAGGAAAGTGTGGCTTTCATTGCAAAGCTATGTTGTGTCTGTATCCAGAAGGTCATTGGTCCAAATTCAGAAGGCCAACTGGTCCTCATATTTTGGTATACAGCACATACAGATGGGTAGCATTCTGCCTCAGTTCCCAAGGATCTATCCATCCATCCACTTTATGCAACCAACAGAATCGAACAGTGAAGTTTCCCCCCACCTTAAACTCAACTAGCAGTTGGTGTTCTGCACATTTGCCCCCTTTCTATGGACAAACAGCACCCCTGCACACAGAAAACTAGTATGTCAGAGAGAAGGTGAGAAGTCTGGGGCGCTAGTTTTCTAATACATAGAGTTTTATTGCGGGCGGGGCGGGAGGGCAGGCAGTGTTTAAATATGTAAGAGCCCTTCCCAAGTGTGTGAAGTGGTAGTAAATTCCATGGAGAAATCTCTCATGTGAACAAGCCACAAAAGGGGCAAGGATAAGCAGATTGGGTTAGCCAGGTGGTAGCAAAGAGAATCGGGGGGAATGTTGGCATTTTTGGAGAGTAGAACCTTCCATCCCATTCAGTATCATTAGTTTCAGCCTGAAGTCAAATTGGAGACCATTCAGCACAACTCCAGTTGGTAAACCAGTCAGCAACTAAGGCCTCATATGCACTACACATTTAAAGCAGCATCATACCATTTTAAGCAGGCATGGCTGCCCCCCAAGAATCCCAGGAACAGTGGCAGACATTGGGCTCTCAAATTTCAGCGGCACACTGTATTGTTAGGACACCTCTATCCCCTTCCCAGAGTTCTCACAGTGGTTTAATTATCATTTTAGCTCTGGAAGGAGAGTAGGCTAACAGCTCTTAGAATCCTTAACATGCTACAGTTCTTAGAATTTGGGTGGTGGTGGGGTGGAACCAGGCTGGTTGGAAGTGGCAGGCAGCCTGGATAGCTCAGTTGGTTAAAGCGTAGTGTTGAGAACACCAGCGTTGCAGATTCAATCTGCATATGGGACAGTTGCGTATTTCTCAGTGTCCCTTCCAACTCTGTGATTCTAAGCTACTGCTTTAAATATGTAATGCAGATGGGAGCCCAGGCAAGCTTTGGTAGTATGAAAAAAGACTAAGGAAGGTCACACAGGGAGTTGGTGCCCCAGCCACCAGCAGAACCTCAGTGTCCTCTTCTGAAAGATGAGCTCTTGCAATTCCGCATTAATATATCAACCTTTTAAAATGTCAGCTGTTGTTTAGTCCTTATCTTTTGTTGGAACGGGGCGGCTCCTGATTGGAGGATGTGGATGATTTATTGGCTTGTCTCTGTCTGTATTATTGGAAAATGACAGGGCTACTCAGGTGTAACGTACTTGGTTAGACAACATTAATAGAGCCGTGTCGATGTTCTGGACCCAGAATCCTTAGCAACAGACTCCTGTCTTTCACTCTAAACTTCCCCCAGAAAAACAGAAGCATTTACTAAGTGAAAAAGTTTGCTTAGTATATGGGGGAAGGAGAGGGGGGCAAGGATGGCTTTTAGGCTTCTTTGGTTAAAACATCCTGCTAGTGGAAATCGAACATTTGCATTTGTAGCCCAAAGAGCCCAGAGCATGAACTGTGTGTAGGATGACCTCCAGTTGCAAAGCTGGCTCTAGCTAGACTCCAGACACACAACATCAACTGCCCTGTGATTTGTTGAAGCTGAATATCATTATTGTGATTTTACTCATGTCTCTTTTATTCACATGTCTCTACATGACTTGTAAGCTGCCTTAAAAGGATTTGTTCAAGTTAAAGTTGAACCACTCCCTTTCTCCCTCCCTCTCTGGATTTATTCTCAAAGTAACTTGTAAACTATTTATGTGATTTGATGCACTTATGATACTATTTTCCTTATGCTATTCTTCATCCTCCCAATTGTTCTATTCCACCATATTGATTTTGAGGAGGGGGGGGGACTTAAAATGGGTCAGAAGGAGGATTTGTATCCTAAAAGGAAGGATATATGCTGAAGGTCACACAACAAGGGAGTGGGTTGTCTCAGTAACTTTCTTTTTGGGTTTCCTTGAAGCCTCTGGCTGGTTGCACTTGAAATCTGGATGCTTGAGTGGGCAAACTTTGGTCCTGATTCTGATGAGCTCTTCCCATGAACTTAGGTGCACAGTGATGTGCCTCTTTAGGCTGGCTCAATTTATGGATTCTGTGTCCCAAACAGTAACATTTCAGTGTGAAAAAAGAAACCCCCCTCCCTTCATTGCAATCTCATTCCTGTTTTCCTGCCAGTACTGCGTCCTCTTGACTATTTTTCAGAAATGTTCTCTGCACTCTGGCTAAATCCTTTTTATTGATTTCATTTCCTCTGGACTTCTTCTTTGAAGGTGAAGTGTAGCATTAGGAGGTAATGAGGAAGAGGAGAAAATGCAAGTATTTCTTCAGGAAGGGCTGCAATTCTAATCCCACTTTCCTGAATTCAGTGGGACTTACTTCTGAGTAGGCATGGTCAGAATTGCAGCTTGAGCTGTTCCGAGGGATAGGCACATTTTTTTGAGTTGTACACCTGTATCTCAAAACTGGGAGATGTGCAAATATTTTCAGTGATTACCTGCATGTCATTTTCTGTTTATTTTGGGGAGTACAGAGTAGGGAGGCTCACCTGGAGCTGCAAAATGAATCAAATTTCTCCCCCTTCCATATCTGACGAAGCAGAATAATGGAGGGTGGTGTGTCCTTGTACTCAGGAGGACAGTGGTGCTTCCTGTGATCTTCAAAGTGCACACACATAAAATCACTCCTATTTGATTCTGTCTATGAGTGTTGGAGAGTGTGGACTCATCTCAGAAGGACCTGGCTCCTTAAAGGCTCCATTTGTCGTTTAGGGACTTCAACTGGGCAATGGGGAGAAATCATAATGCAATGCCCTCCTGCTCAAAGTGTCTGGCTCCATTTTGACATGGATCCTGCCCACTTTGAGTAGGACTTGGCTCACTTCTCATGCTCCCCCTCTCCTGTACTTCTTCCACAATCTATAAAAGGCTTACCTTGTGAATTTCCCACTGCTTGTTACTCACCACCCCACCCCACCCAGTAATCCTCTTTTTGTAGTTCTGCCACCTAATTAAAAGAGATCTGACTTGCCACTTAATCAACCATTTAAATTTGCATAAATTTGCATATGGGCAAAACAGTAGTACTGAAGCAAGAGGCGTCCCCTTTTGTGCTTTCAGATGATGCATGTCTGTGTCACAACTTTTCATAAGAGAGAAAAGGACAGCCTTTTATGAAAAGGCGTGTCACCTGCAGTCTTATTTAAAACCATTTTTAAAAGAATCTGCTGCCTGATTAATTGAGGGTGTGGGTTAGTTGGTTAAAAGTGTTTTAATGAAATTATCTTACTGATTAACTGATTAAATGTTGAAGTTTGGTGGGGGAGCGAACAAGTAACTGGAGAAAGTGAATAGAGAAAAGTTCTTCTCCTTCTCTCATAACACTAGAACTCCAATGAAGCTGAATGTTGGAAGATTCAGGTTAGATAGAAGAAAGGACTTCTTCATGCAGCACATAGTTAAACTATGGAACTCACTCCCACAGGAGGGAGTGATGGCCAACAAATTGCATGGCTTTAAAAGAAGATTGGACAAGTTCATAGAGGAGAAGTCTATCAGTGGCTACTAACCATGATGGCTCTGCTCTGCTTCCACCAGTGTTGACCAAACTTGGGTCTCCATCTGGAGACTACAACTCCCATGATCCCTAGCTAACAGGACTAGTGGTCAGGGATGATGGGAAATGTAGTCCCAAAACAGCTGGAGACCCAAGTCTGGGAAACACTGGCTTCCACAGCTGGAGGCAGTAATGCCTCTGAATACCAGCTGCTGATAATCACAAGAGGGAACAGTGGCTGTTGTGCTCAGGTCCTGCTTACAGGCTTCCCATTGGGGCATCTGGTTGGCCACTGTGAGAACAGGAAGCTGGCCTAGAGGGGCCATTGGCCTGATCTACTATCATGAACTGGAAGGACAATGGAAAGGAGGAAGAGGATCCTAGCGAATGGTGCAGTCACAACTGGGACCCACCAGGGGAAGACGGGGATGGGAAAGGAGAGGTTGGGGTTGCGGAAAGTACACATGGGATGATAGAGGATGGTGAGGGGATGGGGGCCAGAAGAGCAGGACCCCCCCTCAGAGCCAGAGAGGCCCCCGTCTTCACAAACAAGGCATAGGGAGCAGTGGGAGGTGCACTCTGGGAGGCTGAGGCAGGAAGGGCCCACAGCCCAGGTGAGGCTTGTTAGCTTGGGGAGGAGGTGTGAGATTCCTCAGCTGGAGTAGGCTCAGAACAGTTGAGGGTCACATGACTCATCAAACCTGGATGCTGCAATCAACATTCATCTGAAGGCAACCCTGTTCAGGGACGTTTTTAAGGTTTGATGCCATATTGTGTTTTAATTTGTTGGAAGCCACCCAGAGTGGCTGGGGTTTGTTGTTGTTGTTATTATTATTACTGGTATAAAAAAAGAAGCTGAGTAAAGGTGCTGTGTCTGCTCAACTGCCCATGTTGCTGGACCTCAGCTTAGGAGAAGAAAAGAGTTTGGATTTGATATCTCGCTTTATCACTACGCTAAGGAGTCTCAAAGCGACTAACATTTTCCTTTCCCTTCCTCCCCCACAACAAACACTCTGTGAGGTGAGTGAGGCTGAGAGACTTCAAAGAAGTGTGACTGGCCCAAGGTCACCCAGCAGCTGCATGTGGAGGAGCGGGGACGCGAACCCAGTTCCCCAGATTACGAGACTACTGCTCTTAACCACTACACCACACTGGCTCGCTCCAGGACGACTATGGGTTTCTGCTTCCTGACTGCTGTACTTCAGACTTCGCTTACTTGGATTGTCCCTGGACTGTGTTTCCTGACGACTGAACTTTGGACTTGACATACTGTGTTCGCCAGCGGGACTTGCTGTCAGGTAGGCTGGGGGTACAGTGCAAGAAAAACATTGGGGCCTCATTTGATCAGTAGAATGTCTGGTATCTGGTGGGCGGGGCTTGTGTGTTCTGCTCTGGAATCAGCCCCTCCCCTCAGGGTGTTCTGTTAAATTTCAGTTAAGAGGGACCAACTGTCTCATCTTGTTTCTTGCCTCAGATTTGCCTTGTGTGGTTGTACCGTATTGGCCCAAATATAAGCCGCACCTGAATATAAGCCACACTTTTAAAATTGCCGGGGGGGGGGGGATACCTGGATATATAGATATATATATTCCAATAATATTAAGTTTTATACAAATATGACACATACTATACAATCAATCCAGGAATGCCCGGATATAAGCCACTCCATTCCTCTCTGCTCCTGGCTGCATACTGGGGGGGGGGGGGGGAGCCACGCTGTGTTGCATTGCTGATGGCCTTTCCCCTTCCTTGCTCTCTCTCCCTTCCTGGCCTTGGGGGAGTGGATGGGGGACTACGCACGGGACGGGCGCTGCTTCACCATGTTCCTGGCACTGTTTGCCCCACTCTCCTGGCTGCATAGTATAAGGTCACGGATATAAGCCTCGTTTTAACTTCTCACAGTTGGAATTTGGGGGGAAAGTGAGGCTTATATTCAGGCCAATACAGTATTTAGTTTCTCTCATCATGTTATTTTGTTAGTTTTCTTTATCATTGAAGCTTAGCTTACACTTATGTGAGCCACTTATTTTTCTCAAAGAAAAAGAAACTCTGCCGAGGAAAGGTATGGAGTCTCCTAAACTGTGGGAGTGAGGGGATATTCCCAGTTTGCCAGGAGGTTTCCTGACCACTGGGCTTTGGACTTTGCTTATATGCATTGACCCCAGACCGTGTTTCCTGACCACTGAACTTTAGACTTGGCATACTGTATATGCCATCTAGCTGGCTCTTCGTATGTTCTTATATGCATTTCAGGTCGATGTGATGTTGGTTTGGATGGAGGTGGGGGAGTTGATAGGGGGAAAGATTAAATGGTTGATTTTGTCTGATGTATTAATGTGTGAAATGTACACATCTGTCTAGCATTTTCTGCTGCAACAAGCAAAATCCCCACTGCCGATCTATACTATCCCTGCTAAAGAGGTCTTTATTGACACTAAGCAAGTGTGACGTGGCATTCCAGATTACCCTTTCCTTGCAGGAAGAGTCTCCCTTTTCTTGTCGCAGTAGAGAGTGGCCATCCAGTCTCATTTCGGTGACCCTGCTGCTCTGAAGCAAAGTTTTGCCAGCTCCAGTAAGCAGCCTAAACAGGTTGAGTTTTTGACACTAGCAAGTGGTTGTGGAGGCATGTATAGAGAGAGGTGGCCAGACATGGACTATGGTAGAACTGTAGAGTTGGAAGAGACCCCAAGCGTCCTCTGATCTCCTGCCATGCAGGAATTGCAGCTAAGAATCCCTGACCGGTAACCATCCCTCCTCTGCCTAAAAACCTCCTATGAAGAAGAGTCCACCACCTTCTGAAAGAGTCCATTGCATTGTTGAGCATTTATTGCCACCAGAAAGTCAGAATCTTGTTTCTTGTTGTTTGAATTCTTTGGTTTGGGTACTATCATTTGGAGAAGGACAAAACAAGCTTGCTCCATCTTCCATGTGACAGCCCTTTAGATATTTGAAGTGAGGAGCATCTCAGAGGGGCTTTGGGGCTGATTAGGTCAGCATCAGGCTATGCAAGTGAGAGATCAGGATTGTATCTGCTCTGGCTTCAGAAACGTCTAGACAGGGCCATAGAGGCAACTGTAGAGCTCGCTAGAAGCCGTACGTAGCACCAGTGTGGCAGTAGGCAATCTAAGGTTGAAACAGGGGAAGCTTCCTTATGCTGAGCCATAGCATTGGTCTTTCTAGCTCAATATTGTCTGACTGACTGGCAGCAGCTCCCCATGATTTTACGTAGGGGTCTATTCCTGTCCTACCTATAGATTCCAGGGATTGAACGTGGGATCATCTGCATGCAAAACAAATGCTCTAGCACTGAGCTACTGCCCCCCCACTCCCTACTTGGCATGGTACAGGCAGAGGTATGTGGCAAAGCTCTCAGGGATGGTTGCCAGCTCTTGAAATCAAAAACTCTGGAATCTTGTTGGGTCATGATGGAAGAGCTTTCTTGTTCAGGAGCAGAGTGGAGAGCAGGTCTGACCTCGGAGCCTGGTAGTTATTGGTGGGTTTGGGGAGGGGAAGCTGACCATCAAGGAGATTTCATCACTTATAACCCTCTGTGTATGTTCAGACAATATGTGTGGGCATCCAGAGCACCACCTCAGCCCTAACATCCCCTCTATGCCTGGACTTCCTGAATTGAACAGGAAGGTTAGAAGGGGGATTATAATAGCATTCTTCTGGAGAAGCAGGGGGTTCTGAAAACAGCCCTTCAGAGATTTGAATATGGTTCTCATATCACCCCGCAGTCTCCTCTTCTCCAGGCTAAACATACTCAACTCTCTCAACCATTTCTCATAAGGCTTGGCTTCCAGACCTTTGATCAACTTGGAGGGATATGGAGCTGGGATGGCATTCATCCCACTCCCCATGTGCACATTTATGTCCATGCATGTTTTTTGAATACCCCACATATTCACTGAACTACAGCTACTGCTGTTCAGCTTTTTAAAAACTGCTTGAAGCTCTCTCTCTCTCTCTCTCTCTCTCGCTCTGTAATGTGTGTGTGAAAGGCTTATCCCCTCCCCACTCTTCTGAAACTGATGCCACAGCAACACACACACACACACACACAGAGAGAGAGAGAGAGAGAGAGAGAGAGAGAGAGAGAGAGATGGGGCAGTCCTTGTTACCCTCCTTCCCTGGTCAGTTTGTACTTTTTGATTGCTTGTGGCTGTGAGTTCCGTTCCATGTATAAATCGCATAATTTGCTAAATGGTCACTTATTTTGCATAAAAGAAATTATTTTGCATAAAGGGAAAGGGCTATATCTTAGAACTCATCTAGATGGAGCAATGGTCTCACCTAGTATAAGACAGATTCCTATGTTCCTATACATTGCTAAGGTTTTCCCCCTCCTTTTCCTTTTAAAAAAGCATTTGTGTAATTGTAACTCTGCTTCTTCTCCTCATTCATGCATCAATGGATCCCAAACTGTATCTCAAGAGAAAAAAATGAGGGGCACAGTGCTCATGGGAGGGAGGGATGGGGAGAAATGGCATGCACTAGAAAGATTTCCCTCCATGGTCATGTCTGCCCATTTAATCACAGGTTAATTGCCATGAAGAGGGCATCAGGGGGAGAAGCTTCCAGGCCAGTTACATCGTTAGAAGAGGGATAAATAAATAAATAATGCATTGTCTTCCAAAGCCCACTGTGTGCAAGTTACACGGTAGCCATAATTACTTTTTTTTGGAGATGCAATTACTGGGCAATGTGGTGGAACGTGTAATTTTCAGAGTATTGACATAAGCCCTTTCCCAAGAACCCTCTTTATGCCTGGGGAAGGGGTCAGACTCTAACATCTTGCTGAAAAGCAGTCAGAAATCAAGAGCTCCTGCTGATTTTAAACAAGTCTGTAGTGGATAACCCATCTGAACTTCGTTGTTGTTACATATAAAGGGAAATGACCCATATGTAATGTTCACCAGCAGATGACTCCATAATCAGCATATGGAATTCACTGCCACAGGATGGCATGAAGGCACCTACTCTGAGGGCTTCAAAAGTGGATTAGGGAAAGCTCATGGAGGGGAGGTCTTTTCACAGCCAGAATAGCTAAGAAAACACCCAGTGCTGTTACCCGCAAGACCTGCGGTACACTTGACAGAGGGGTGTATGGCGGAACTTTATAACATTATTCAGGATGTGTGGGAAACGGATTTTCTCCTTCTCTTATCCTGCTGGAACTCAGTGGGCTCATTCAAAAGCCTGAAGATAAAGGACAGACAAAAGGAAGGAATTCTTTACACAATGCATAGTTATTCACTGGTATTCACTGTCACAAGATGTGATGGTGGTCAGCAGCTTAGATGGCTTTAAAAGAGGGTTAGACAAATTCTAGGAGGATAAGGCTGTTCATCATTATGGCTATATATTAGGAGTTTGCAAACTGTATGTGCTGTGTTCATATATATTTTGTGTCTTGAAGTAGCCTGATCTGCTTTGAATCTGCTCTGTGTTGTTCTGATTCATTATTGTGCTCTAAATCTGATCTGCTAAATCTGAAGCCCTTTCTCACCCCCACTGATTCTAATTGGGAAGGTAAAAATAAGTGGATAAAATTTGCAGGCAAAGGAGTCCCTCCAGAGTGGTTTAACATGCCCTTGTAACTCTTGTCTAATTATTGTATTTTCAAATGCATTGTAATAAGCCTCCTCAAGAACTTAATCAGTAGGTGAGGGAATAAACATGCCATGTAAACACATAATAGATATTAGACCTCCTCAAACCTCATATATTGAGTCATTCCAAGCAAACTTTATATGGCACAACCTTGGTTGTAGCTGTGACATTTCTGTCCAGAGAAATCTGGAAGAAGAAGCAGGGGAGCCATGAGCATAGCAACGCAACTGCCAAGCCAAGGTGAGAATTTTGCAAAGGGGAAAGAGCATCAGCGAGAGCAAGATTTGCTCCAGGGCTCCAGCATTTCAGTAATGTGACCGATGTTTTTGAATGCGAAGCTGTTGACCCAATCAGGCTTGATCACTCTCGGCCATTCATCTTGTTGACTTGGCAAAGCACTCGCCTGTTCCAGCAAAGCATGGTGGGGGTAGTGGGGGAGAGGAGGCGATGTATTAAGAGCTGAAATGGTTTCACTGTCAGGAGCTGGAAGGAACACGATGCATGAATCAGCCCTCTTAGTCCCGGGAAGAAATAAGCAAACAAGCCCAATTAATCCAACATGTTTATACTTCCACAAATGTTTTGTTACTAATAATATTTCAGGAGGACTCATCCATCTTGCAGATGTCCACGGGCTGCCTAGCATTCATTCCATGAACACTTCAAGCTCAGGAACATGTGATCAGAGTCACATGCCGTGCTTTCTTTTCAGGGAGTACCTAATAATAATAATAATAATAATAATTTATTATTTATATCCCGCCCATCTGGCTGGGACCGACACCTCTTTTTTGTTGTTGCTAAAATGTGTGGCACTTAGTGTAACAACTTCCTGGTGAGTACCAACACCTATTTTTATAGAAAAGAAACACTGGTCACATGTAACCTGGGATTATTAGATGCCAAGAGCAGATTCAAACAAATAATTCTTCATGCTGCGGCTGCAGGCCAAAGCCACCTCTCGTTGAACTTTGGGAGAGAGATCTTGCTGTGTTCTTGTGAATGACTACAGCATTCGCTCCATTAATTGAATCAATGGCTAAATCTCAGGTGGGAAATGGGCACAGTCTCAGAGCTCTGGCCTCTGATGGGTATAAAGGTAAAGGGACCCCTGACCATTAGGTCCAGTCGTGACCGACTCTGGGGTTGCAGCACTCATCTCGCTTTATTGGCCAAGGGAGCCAGCGTACAGCTTCCAGGTCATGTGGCCAGCATGACTACGCCGCTTCTGGCAAACCAGAGCAGCGCACGGAAACGCCGTTTACCTTCCCGCCAGAGCGGTTCCTATTTATCTACTTGCACTTTGACATGCTTTCGAACTGCTAGGTTGGCAGGAGCAGGGACCGAGCAATGGGAGCTCACCTCATCGCGGGGATTCGAATCGTCTACCTTCTGATCAGCAAGTCCTAGGCTCTGTGGTTTAACCCACAGTGCCACCCGTGTCCCTTCGTTGGGTATAGGCCCTGGTATAAAGCAGCTTTCTGTCTCCCACCAAATCTGGATGTCCCTTTGGGGTTCCACGGCTGGAGAAGCCAGAAAGCTCCTGCCTCAGAGAAACAGCAAAGGAATTTGGAAGTGAAGTAAAGAGAGGTTTCAATAAGACCAGCCAAATTGTTAAGCCTTTCCATGCTTTCACTCTGCCGAACCCCCTCGTAACCCCTTTGGGCCTGCCTGATTGCAAAATGACGTTGAATCTCAGTGGCAATTTCTGAAGGGATGAAAAGTGGGTTAAGGCAATCTGTGAGAAGATCTCTCCCCCCACAACACACACAATTTTGTGTGTGAGGGGGGAGTGACGACGAGAGACAAGGAAAATCCGAGGACATGATGGAATACGAGTGAGATAACAAAGCCGCTTTGCTTGTGTCCTAGAAACAAGGCGCAAAAATGCCAATAAGAAGAAGACTGTAAACAGGAATGAATCACTAACAGTTGGGAAGTGACTGACAAATGATGTGATTTTAAGAAATGTGTTCACAAAAGACCTTGTGTGTAAGCAGGCGCTTTTGTAAGATTTTATGGGGGTTTTTTGCGTGTGCATGAGTAATTCTATACATTTTTAATAACAGACCCTGGAAAGGGAAGTCAATCACAGGGTGCACCTGCTGTTTCCTCTAGCATGATGGTGAATGCAATGCGCACTTAGCAGCAAACACATCACTTGCAGCCCTGCATCCCCAAGACACAGCACAAGGGAGCTGTCCGTGGAAGGAGGGAAGGAAGTTTTGGGTCAGAATTTGTTTAAGCAGGGAGACACACTGTGCTGGTCCCGGGGGGGGGGGGTTTACCGTGCGGCGTAGTCTGAGTCCGGTCCTAGGTCCGGTCCTAGGTCGAGGGTATGGAGGCTGTCCGTGAAGGGCGAAGTGGGGTTCAAGGCAAGGAGCCGGGCGTGGTCAGGAACTCTGGGAGAGCAGGACAGGGTCCTTGCAGGAACAGGTTACCAATGATGTTGCTCCCGCAACCTGGGACTGGGTGGGCTGGCCTTTATCTCCTCTGAGGCATAGGGCGGCCTCGGTCCACAGGTGACTCGCCTCTCCTGGCCTGGAGGGGAGCACTCCTCCTGCGCGAACTTAGTTCCCTCTGCCTCTCCACCCTGAGCCTCTGCAGCTCAGGAGAGGCTGGAGGGTTACTGGACCCAGAGGCAACCTCACCTTCCCCTGACAGGGCTGGGAGAGGAGCACCTGCAGGCAATGGGTCCTCGATCACCTCCGGAGCCAGAGCAGATTCAGCTGGTGTCTGCTCCTGAGGATCCGGCACAGGTGAGGGCCCTTCAGGTTCAAGCCCCTGCCCCAGCTCAGCCGGCCCTGGAGGCAGGGACTCCTGTGCAGGCTGGGATTCCTCAGGTTCAGCCTCTGAATCAGATTCCCAGGCCATCACATGCACAAACCCTGTCCCATGATTTTCATAGATTCCACCACCTTCTTGCATGCTTGCATCGCATGATCAGGATTACTTAATCACAGCCACCAAAGTAGACTGGAGAGTTGCACACACTGGATCTGAATTCTATTTCTGTGTTATTTATCACTGTAGGCTGAATTAGATGGACCAATGAAGTCTGTCTGGGTATAAGGGGTTTTTCTTCCCCTTTGAATCAGGGCTCAGTGAGAGAACATCAGCTTTGCATGCTGAAGGTCTCCAGTTCAATCCCCAGCAGCATTTCCAGGTAGGGCTGGGAAAGAACACTGTTTGAAATTCTGGAGAGTCAGTCAGTGTGGCCAACACTGAGCTAGAAGGACGTGTGGATCCAGAATTGCCCTCCACAGTCACTTCTGGACTCATTGTTAAAACCGTGTTTATGGAAGACAATCTTACTTGGCTACGAGTGATCGCCAAAGAAGAGGGAGAATAAGAAAGAAGAAGAAGAAGAGATGGACCAATTGCCTGACTTGGTATAACTCAGCTTTCTTTTTTCACTGCTTCAGTTGTAATATTCTGAAAATAACTGACAATTCAGGACTCTGACACTTACTTACAGCACTGACTTCCCACCATTTTTCGTTTGGAAGGAGAATATATTAGATCATTCATGGGAGCAGTTGATAAATTCTGCAAAACCTGGATTTTCAGTTGTCATTATACACCATCAATTAAAAGCGCATTTCCTCCCCCCCAAAGAATCCTGGGAATTGTAGTCTACCCCTCACAGATCTGCAGTTCCTAGCACCCTTAAGAAAACTAAAGTTCCCAGGATTCTTGGGGTGGGTGTGTTTTAAATACACACAGCTTACATTTTGTGAGCATGTCATTGACGATCTCATTTCAGACTGCATAGGAGGGACTCCAGCCCCCAGTTTCATAATACTGAAATTTGGGGTATACCAATTATGATCCTGGTGGCTCATTTAGGGCAGTCAAAATGAAGGTTTGTTTGTTTTCTTCCCTTCACCCTAAGCTTGCTCACGGTTGCAAAATTAAGTGATACTCTTCGTGTTTAGGTGATTTAGAAAAGGATTGATTCACCAGTAGTTCTTTGCTATGATAGCTAAATGAAGGATCCATGCGCAGAGGACTTCCGGGACAGCGCCATCGGCAATGGCGGAGTTCCTCTGACCGAGAGGAACCCGCTCCGTGAAAATCGGGTCTTGCCGCCGCGGCGAAGGCGGAGACCCTTTAAAAATCCCAGGCGGAGGAAGCCTGGGAACGTGGGATTCGGCTGACACCAGGAGCGCCTCCCCTACTCGCAGAGAAACCCTTTTTCGGGGGTCTGAAGCGACGTGGGGTGAGTGGCGCGGTGTTTTGAATCAACAGCTACTTTTACGGAGTGAAGCTGCACAGCCGTTGCCGGAGAGCGCTGACCTTTTCCTGTGGACAGTTGAACTCTAAACAAGTACCTGTGAGTAGAACGGAAAATTGGATTAAGTATTAAGAAATATTTTAATTTGGCACTGAAACGGGAAGGTTCTAACAGGAAGTCCGCCTCCTGTTTTTTGTAAATAGATTGAAGCAAAAACTTTGTAAGCTATAGTCTGGAAAGTCGTATATAAAGTTCTAAATTTCCTTCATTTATCACCACCAAAACCCCTCTTGGAAGCAGGAGAAAAGAGGGGGATTTTTGACTGTTTAAGCCTGCAGGAGAGAGAGTAAAGAAAGATAAATTTTCCACCATCTCAAACCTGGCAACGGGTTGTTAGAGACAGAAATTTATGGGGAAGTTCATCGACTGTGAATGGAACGTCTTTTGACAGATAGTAAAAAAGAAAAAGAAAAAAAAAAGAAATAAATTGACTCCAATGTTGCTTCTTGCAATCAAAAGAAACAAAGTATTTGAAAAGTGAAAGTAATTTTTCTTTGTTGGTCCTGCTTTTAAAAGATGGATACAAATAGAAATTGTCTCCTCTAGAGGGAGCTTGTTAATTTGTTGCTGGAGCTGATCTGGGGACCTCACAGCTGTATGATTAGGATCGTGAGACCAGACTCTAACCTTGGGGGAAAAAATGTGTTTACAAGAAGTCTTGGTGCTTGCTTTTTGCAAGACAAGTGCTTTGCTGGAGCAGATGCATGAGAAGATGGATTTGATGACTGTTGCAGTTAAAAACTTTGGACAAACGGCGAATACCCATATAGAAACCATTCAGGAACCAGCCCAGGAATCTGTTTTGATAGGGCAAGCGCAAGTGCAGAAGAAAATGGAGGAGGTTGCTGTTGAACCTCAAATAACGCAAATGGAGAGATCCAAGGCCTTGCAGGAGTATAAGCCGCTGTTTTTGAAGTTTGAATCTGGAGTGGACCAGGGGGGGTCTGGAGTTGTGAGGGCTCTTAATTTTGGAAAGACTTTGAAACATGCTTTTAAATACTTTCTGGATTACAGTGTTGACTGTGGGGAGTGGGACTGTGGGGAATGGGCTGACCTGCTGAGGAGAGATGGAGATACTTTTGGATTGGAGTCCTCCCGAGACCTACCCCCCAATGAGAAAGGAAAGAAAATAAGAAAAAGATCAACAAAAGACAAAGTAAAGGGCAGGTATAAACAAGAAGAAGACCTGCAGAAGGGACATGGAAAAGACTTAAGAGCCTCAGACATAAGAGCACCAGGTTGATGGATTAGATGGACGAGAAAGGACTGACAAAACCCGAGACCAGGAAGAAGAGACGATGGATGAAGATTGGAAGAAAGTTTCAAAATTCATTTAGAAAAGTATTGTAAAATTAATGAGTATTAGAAAAATGTTGGAATGAAATTATTTGGCTTTAGCAGAAATGTCAAAAAGAATTATGTAAGAATATGTTATGGTTAAAAGAATTGGGTATATATAAGATTTAAGTTTTAAGTTTTAAGGTTCTTTAGGGTAAGATAAGGTTAAAATAGATTAAGGTAATTTAAATGACAGAATATTGTGAAAGATGGAAAGGATTTGCTGAGATAATTAACAGCTAGAATACAAAAAAGGGAGGTGTGAGGAGGTTGTTGAAATAAGTTAATGAAAGTTAAGGATTTGGGAATATTAGACTTGTGTTTTTTTAATTGTTTATTTTTGTTTTTTGATTTAGATGCATTGTGTGTTTTGTTATATTTTTTTTGACTTTGGTTTTTATTGATCTGTATTGTTTAATTGTTATGTTTATTTACTTCTTTCTCTCTTTTTCTCCTTCTCTTGTCTTTTCTTTCTTCTTTGTAACTTTAAAATTCTCAATAAACATCATTTTAAAAAGAAAGAAAGATCCATGCTCAGAGTTGGCATATAACTGAATTCTAGAAGCTCATTTTCATGCCCTGTTCCTGGAAACAGAATGCTGGAGGGCATGGGCAGGATTCTAACGATGGTATGAGGAACGCATATCAAGCTGACCTTAACAGTGACCAACGCCAGATCACAGTGGCAGAGCACCTGCCTTGTACCCAGAAGGCAGGGTTCAGTCTCTGGGTTCAGTCTCTACAGAGGGCTGGGAATGCCTCTTGCCTGAAACACTGGAGGGCTGCTGCCAGTCAGTGCAGGCAGCACTGCACCAGATGGGCCAATGCTCAGAGTCAGTATAAGACAGTTTCCTGTGCCCAGGCTCCATTAGGATCAAGAATTCCCAGCACATTTAATCAGGTGCCATTGCATGTTCATTGCAGGGGGAGAGGCTCTTTTCTTCTCTTAGGCTCCCCTGAATCTCCTTAGCAGCTGTGCTAGTGCCAAGAGCTTTTCCTTTTGAGCTGTGGTCCAGAATCTCCTATCACCCGCCGTGCCATTTCTGTTCACTATTCCTGATCCAAACATGTTACTTCTGCATTGTCTGTTTTGTGATGAACAAGGTTTTCTCTTTCTGACACTGGTTATTAGACTTCTATTTATATTTAATTTATTTGATTTGCATGACATAACTGAACAGCAAATTCAAAAGGGGAGGTGATGTCTGACCTACCTTAGCTGCATAACTTAATCTCACCCTTAGTCTCTCTTGTGCAGTGAGCCGGTGGGGAAAGGAATTGTTTTTAGAAAGGGGAGTGTTCAGGTATGTTTCAGAATGAGCAAACATTTGTTCTTTCTCATTTTTCTGGTGGTAAGTGGGTGGGTGGGGGCCCAGAACAACTAACTTCCTTTTCTAACTTCTAAAATGCTTTATGAAGTATAACATCCTGCTCCAATCCACCCTAAGCGCTCCAGCAACAGGAAACCATATACATAAGCAGCCTTCTTTGCACCCTACGAATATGGGTGCAATTGTCTCAGCACCATCACCATCATGACATCCATCCTGGACCTGCTAAAGTGGCTGGCTATGTCTTTTGATGGAGACCAGCGGGGATGCCTGAATGCTTTATTTTCATTTCAAGTCAGTTTCATATTCGTTTAACAAAATTTCTGTGATGCTTGATTGTAATAAAACCTCTAGGTGGTTTACAAGAAATATTAAAACTCATCAATAGAAAACAACAAGTAATGAATAGCATTTAAAAGACGATTAAAGTTAACAAGAAAAGATTAAAACACATCAATGTCTACATGCCTGGATAGGCTTGCCTAAATGAGCAGGTATTGAAAAGTGTATAGCAAAGGCATGAGATGCTTTGTAGGAAGTACTTTATCAATGAAAACAACAACAACAACAATGTCTCTAGAAGGTCTGGTGCCTAGTGGACCCATTCCTAACCCTGTGACCTGCTCTATGTCTACCTCAGAATGTTGTGGCTCAGGACAGTGCTGTTAATCCATGCCACCAGAAAGGAGAGCATAACCCCCCCCCGACCATCTTTCACTATCCTTAGGCGAATATCCTGACAGTAATCTCAATTCTCCTGGTCCTTGATCTCAACTGCAGTTCAGTAATTTTCACCATCATCCTTTCAGTTTTTTTTCCTGGTGCTTTAATTCTATCTCCATAGTATTTTCTGCCATCGAAGCAACATCAGGCACCTTTGAGAAGAATTTTTTCAGCCTATCCTGTGTGCAGACGCTCTATCACTGAGCTAAGGCCCCTCTCTAAATGCCAAATATCACTGAGAAGACAGTCCCTGTCCTCAGACTCACAATCAAAGAGGCATGGCACAAAAGGAAAGGGGAGGAGGAAAAAAAAGCAAGATTAGGCACTAATTCTTTTTTAAACAGATCATGTAGTGAGCAGCAGGGAAGTAATTTGGGAGAGGGTGGAAAGTTGGTGGTCTCTCAGCAGAGAGGCCCTGCAGTATCCATCTAAACATGCAGATAACTGGGTGTTCTGATATTGATAAAAGGGAGCGTTTTATTTACATTAGATGATGCCAGCCTGAGGCTGTACAGATTTCAATAATTAGACGTTTCAGACACCTGCAGTTTGGACAAGTGTGTGCATGTGTGAGAGAGCATGTTCTGTATTGTAGTACGTTATACAGCAAACCTAATTCCAAGGAGTTGTGAGTGGTGGGGGCGAGGGGAGGGGGTGACATTATCCAAGCTAATTTTGCAGCATGTTCAGGTCTGAATTGAATCTCTGTTCCAGCCTCCCACGTTCCAGCTGGAAGCTTTGAAAGCAGCATAGCAAGGTGGAGTGTAAATGCAACGAGGCCCAGAGACAGAGAGAGGGAGAGAGAGCCAGACAGGAAATGTGTGTGCTGAGAAATTGAATTTTTATCTGTTTCTATGTAGATTGCGTTTATTCATGTGCCAGCTATTCATCTCCGCCTGCATCACCTGATTTCTCTTTACAAAATGACTTTCCTCCCTTGCCCTAATTTTGTTTGTACAGATAGCAGCTGCTTTCTCCCATTTCAGCATTTTAAAAAAGCCACCTTAAATGATGTGCTATATATCCCTGTTAGAAGTTTTAGCGGCTGCCCGACACACATTAGCTGCTTGCTCCAGCCAGGCTGATTTTCCATCACAAAGAGAGAAATGTTTTTCCTTGCCCTTGCAGATAAGGGTTCTGTCGCTTTAGCCATTGAAGGCAAACTGGGGGTGGTGACTCCATTGGGTGCATAATAGGAGGCCCAGAGAACGAGAATACCGTGGGCATCCTTGCCTTTTTCCTGCCCTGCCACCAATTCTGCCATTAAAGGGCCTGGTGGGGCAGCCAGTTGGATTCCACTATGGGCACACCAGAGAATCAGAGAGGACAAAAGAGCTGGACCCTCATCCAGCAAGAGTCAGCACCCCAGGCATGCCATGCAGTTGTCCTGCATTAATGCAAGTGCCACCTTACCCATCATCCAGTCTTCTGTGGTCACTCAGGCTCCTCGTCCTGAGATGCCAAGTTCAGGAAAAATCCCAGGAGAGCCAGAATGAAACTGAAGGGGAGATCAGGAGGCCTCATTACAAGCTGAAATTGGTAATCTCCGAAGGTGGCGAGAGGCTGCTGCCTTTGTGCTGTCAGTTCCTTTTGAGGGCCAGGTATCAAAGAAGATGGGCACCAGAGGAGGTGGGGGTGAGAAGGAACAGCCAGCGTTGCAAGGCCCCCCCGAGGCCATGTGTGTGCCTGGCAGAGATGGAGAGTGGGGCTTTGTTGGGGCTGTTGCTGTTGCCGCCTGCCTCTCTCCCCTGGTAGCTCCTGGCTCCTTGCAGGCAACCTGTTGTCTCTGAAGTGATCCATGGGGGGAAAGGATGAGCGGAAGGAGAAGAAAGGGACATAAATGACAGTGGTAATAAAAGATGACAAATGGAGAGAGGGAAAAATCGGAGGGCTCCAGTGGGGTTTGTATGCGCACAGAACTGCCAGGAGCAGATATGTCATAGTGTGCATGGTGGGGGGGGGGGGATGCTGAGAGAGCAGGATGTGTGTGTGTGTGGAGAAGGAGACCCTTCTCAGTTTCTTACCAGTTTAATCTATCAGGCTTTGCCACTTGTTTGAGGGGATCAAGGCAACCTGAGCTTCACCTAGTCAACCATGATCTGGCTGAGAGCAAAGAGCAAAAGATATTCCAGACACAGAGGAGGAAGCCTGAAATCCTGGGTCTGCCTAGTTCAGTAGTGTCCACACTGACTGGCAGTGGCTCACCAAAATTTCAGGCAGGGACATTCTTACCTGGAGATGCCTGGGATTGAACCTGGGACCTTCTCGATGCAAAGCAACTACTGCCATCCCGCAACTTGCTATTTCAGATATACTGTCCCTCCCCTGATTGGGGCCAGGTGGGAGACCCTGGACCTCCCAATACCACTCCTCCTCCAGTCAGTTTGCAAGGCAATTCACAGAAATGGAGTATTGTACATAAGAATCAGGCAACCACAGCCAGTGGTGGATTTAAGTACAGATTTTATCTATGAGCATGTGTATAAACGTACTTTGTCCCTCTCGCTTGCAGAAACTAGCCACTAGCCTCCCATTCTTGCAAGCCTGCAGTTCATATAAGTGCTTTTGCATAAGCATAATTACAACCAAGAGAAACAAACGAAAAATAATAATGAAAGAAATGGTTGTCATTGAGCTCCTGCAGGCTTTTATTTGCCATGCTATTTTTTAAAAAGGACACTAATTTCAGAATGGCATATTACACTCAGTATGGTCGCATCTTACACAGCAGTTTGGTTCCAAGGTTTCTGCATATACAGACTTGAACCTCTCCCTTGTGAGCATCTGGAGCCATTGCACTGAACAGGCCTTGCCCACTAAGCAAGGCAGAGAGCTTAAAAGCTCTTTCTGCCTTCTCTGCCTTGGTTATTAGAAGCTCTTTTCATGCCAGGAAAATGCTGTGGGCATTTAATTTGCACCATTTCAACTGGACAGACTTCAACTGCAAAAGGTTGAAATCACGCAAGTTAAATGTAGGTAAGATGCAATCATACTGTATTGTTACGATTATCCTCTTCCAGATCTGTTCTGGGTAGGTGCCTAAACACTGATTTTGGTGTCTAAAATATTTTCCCCCATCTGTAGACCCTTCCTGCTTGCAACCCCGTGTTGTAAGGGTAAGAAGAAGGTAGATCCATATCTACTAGCAGATTTCTATGGGAGCTCTGGTAGATCACCATGGATTTCTGCCTCCCACTTGTTTAATGATAGTGACAACTCTTCTCCCTAAATTAGACTGCTCAGAGAAAGAAAACTTGTTGGAGGAGACCAGGAATAGATTTTTGTGTGTAAGGACTGTGAGCTCAGTTCTGGTATTGAAAACTAATTCCTGGTCTGAGATGCACTTAGATGAGATGTCTGGTTCTTTTATTCTAAGCACATGCCTTCCATCACCCCCTCCACTATGTTACACTTGGCTGCAGCTGGTGGGAAACCGGTGAGAGGGGGTACTAAATAGGTCCTACATGCCACCTCCATGGCTCTACTGCCAGTTGTGCAGGAGTTTTAGGTACACCAGTGGAATAAGCATCTGGATTGTTTTACACACTTGCTTTAAAAAGTGCTGTGCTGAAACCAATTTCTCCAAAGTTTTCTTCCTCACCAAAGGAGACTTACATTTTTTCTTCCTCATTCTCAGGATGCTTTAGAATTTCTTTAGGATTTCAGTGGCTGCAGCATTTGGCTTCCCTTATTGTTGCAAGTTGCCCGAGGCTGGTGGGTGTGCTTTTCTTTCCATTAAACATGTTCTACTTTAGAAGGCTCCAGTGCTCAGCCATTTACCTAGCTGGCCACACCTTTTCAGCTAGAAAAGGCCCAGGAGAGAAGTTACCTCATGACATCTTCCCCAGGGCTTTAATTCAAATGCAGAAAGCCGGGTTGGCTTTAGGTAGAGGCCATTTAGTCCAACACATCCAACTTCTACCTAAAAACATCCAGTGATGTTTTTCCACCTTCCAATGTTGTCCATTCCACTATCAAACAGCTCATCCCATCAGAAAGTTATTTCTAATGTTTAGTCGAGTCTCCTTTCTTGTAATTTCAAACCATTAGTTCAGGCCCTATCCTTTGGAGCCACGGAAAACAAGCTCACTTCATCTTGAGGGCATCATTGTTTTCCTAGGAAATGGGGGCACCCAGGAAGGCTACTGACTGAAGAGGACTGGTAAGTTCTAGAATGAAAGAAAAGACAGTCACAACCCCCCCTCAGTCACCTTTGAAAGCAAGGGAATCACAACCAATCCCCACCCCACACCCCTCGGAATATCACTGATTTCTTTCTCTCCCCTTAGCTAAATTTCAAATGATATTTTTTATTTTTGTTAATTGAGGGAGAAGGGAGGAGTAGGAGAAATTTTCAGCACAGCACTAGTTCAAAGTACACACATTATCTCGTGATTTTAAAACCTAAATAATCTCTGCCTCTCTCTCTGTCTCTTAAAATAAAACCCCAATATGTTTCTCACCTGTTCTATTTTAAATGGCTTTTGTTTAATGGCCCATATGCTGCCTAGTAAAATTAGATGGTGCCAATTCTGTTTTGTTCTTGGTCACTTGCTGATCCCAAAGCTCCAGACTTTTGGGGGGAGGTGTCAGGGACACTCAAGATCAAAAACCTCACAGCAAGAGGGTGGAACCTTGTGGCCTGAGGTTTCATGTCCTCAAGTCGTCTGCAGGCACAAATGATCAGCTGGCAATATATGGCCTCTGGTCAGACCAGATATAAACATAAGAACCTGGACTTCTGCTCTTAACAGGTCAACACAGCAGGACTTTTCCTGGAAGGTCCCAGCTCTGAACACACACACACACACACACACACACACACACACACACACACACCAGCCTTAAGTTTAGTTCACTCCATTTCTTCATTAGTTAGCTATTTTTAAAAATCTGTATATTTGTGTGTGCATTTCTCCTAATACATTTGTAAATGTGCCTAAAATGCACTTCTGCCCACCATCCTGGATCCAGGGTTGGCTATCCCTGAAAAGAATGTTTCTTTTTTTAATTATTATTTGATTTCTATCCCACCTTCCCTCCAAGGAGCTCAAGGTGGCCCATGTGGTTTCCCCTTTCCCCATTTCATTTTCAGAACAAGCCTTAGGTTACAAGACAGTGACTGGCCCAAGGTCCCCCATTGAGCTTCTTGGCTGAGTGGAGAGTTGAACCATGGTCTCCTAGTTCTTGTCCAACACTCAAACCACTACAGCACACTGGCTTTCTCAGGAAGCTGCAGTGTAGAGAATGAGAGCACCTAGCTCATGACAATCTATGCTGGCAGCATCTCTCTATGGTTGCAGATGGACTCTTTCCCAGCCCCACCCACAGATGCCTTCAGGGCTTGAACCACTGAGTGTTGGCCCTTCCCCAAAAGCAGGATGACTGCTCTGACCTGAAAGCGACTAACAAGCCAGATGTTTCTGCTGCATTATACCATTTCTGTTTTCTCCAACTTTGTGATTTCCAGTAGTGTTCCTGCTTTATTCAATTTTATTCTCACAGATTGTCACTTGTTTAGCAGTTCTCACCTCCATCTCCATCCTTCTTGCTCCCAAGTCCATTTTCACTGCTAATGATCCACTTTCCCCCTCCCTCCCAGCAGAAAAAATGCCATCTGCCTTTTCACCCTGCATCTTCCTCTGCCACGCACACACGCGCCACTGAATTAAGATTCGTTTACCCGGCCTCTAAAAACTCCCCGAGTCGATAATTTTCCTGCAAGCAATTAAGGGAAGCCATTTCTCCTCCATCAGTCCCATTTGAATATGGAAATGATTTTTAATTACTTGGAGTCAATATCATTTTATCACCCAAATGTGTTTGAATTAGGTTTGCCCGTATTTGTAGGGTGTTCTAATAAGCTTCATGCAAATTTTCAATCCAATTCATGTGGGTTTGTGTGTTTTTTTTAATGTTATCATTAGCTGGGAAAGGCTTTGTCCTTTTCAGGTTTGGAAACATTTAATTTATGGGTTTCTTAGCAGAGCACAAAATGCCTGGGCTGCCATGTCATCTTCCTGAGATGAAGGGGAAATATTCCTCTTCATACAACGAGAAATTGAACCTCCAGCCTCGGCAGCAGGAACCCTTTTCCTCACAGGATGCGAGATACCCTCCTCTCAACCTCTGTTTTCCCTGTCTCCCCAAACCTTCTAAATTAAATGACCCAGAAACCCAAATGTTGTGACCTGAAAAAAAATCTGCATATTAAGTCTATTTGTGTGTGTTTTGAACAATGTACTCTGAGATGCACGTGATGACCCACTTGCCAGATGCTACTGCTGCTGACTTCTGCACCGTCTTGGCAACTCTGTACATGCAGTGAATGAATATGCTTGTGCTTAAATAGGACCTTGGGGTCATCTTTGGTGAGTCTATATCTGAATAGATATAAGGGAGCTGGGGAGATACTTTGATCCAGTCAGGAGAGTCAGAATTGGATCTAGGGAGGCAGGTTTCACCCCCAATGTGTTTCCTTCTGAGAACCTGAAGCTACTGTCACCTGTGAAGATGATCCTCAGTATAGGTGTGTATGTGTATGAGTTCCCACCATTCTGTCACATTCTAGAATGGGTAGAAACAGAACTCAACCCAGGATGGAGCTTTTGCAGACATTGCCAAGGTTCACTGAGGAGCAGATTTAACCCCTGCCTCACTGGTGTCTCTTTCATTCTTTTGTTGTAAATGTACAGTCACCACTCATAAAAAGGAAATAATCCTGGTCTAGGGACTGGGTCTGAGTCCTGCTCATTTGGGGAGCTTCTGTGATGTTTCTCAGTATGTGTGTTTTAATTTTTTTCAAACTTTTTAGCTTCTCAGCATTCAGTGATCTATTTTATTTGGATGCTGATTTTATACCATTGCTGCTTAAGGCTAATTGCATATATTGGCAATTTTATGGCATTTTCAATACTTTGTTGTTAACTGCCCTGATACTGTATTTGCAAGGGTGGAGTATACATCTAAATATTAATTCCATTCTGCTGGATTTAGTTGCAGATAAAGCTAGCAAATTTTATTATTGGGGAGCTCCTATGCCATCTTGATTCAAGGAGGTGAAAACAGGCTACTAGGGAGAAGTTCAGTTTGGTTCACATTTTAACACAGTCCTAACTAACTAATTCATCCTTCCTAAAGCAATATGCAGACCTGAACACAGGATCCTTTAGAATTTTCATTTCTCCAAATTTTGGGATTAAGTTTTCAAACCAAACAAGGTACATAAATATCTGTATGTTAGGGGAAAGTGTGAGTAAAAATTAATATATAAATAACTACAGAAATGCATTTAAAAAATTGGGAGGGGGGAATTACTTGCAAAAATGTGTATATTAGGCAAAAGTGCATACATATTTTAGGATTGTATATTCATGGCTTTACATGAGGTGTATTTTTTCCTTTTAACTTGCAAACTGATGCAGAAATGTGGCAAACTGTCTTGACTCCCACCTAAAACACACAGAGGCACTCACTTGTAAGAAAGAAAAAGGTTCAGGCAAGTAAGGGTATTGGTTTGGCAAAGGACACTGTGTTAAGCAGTTTAGGAGAAGACAAGAAACTCTGAACTTGGATGGAAGCAATGGAGATATCCCAACAAGTTTCCTGACCCTGTCCCACCAAACTCTGAAAGATAAGATGGGACTTCTCTTGCCTTGCACACATACACTGCATTGGGGCAAATGGGTCTTCTCCCTTCTGTGATGTCCATGCCTGGTTCTGGTCAACAGGGTTGCACTCTCCTTTTAATCACTGCCACCTCCTGTTCAGCCTCGTGCATTGGCTGATCACAGTCCGCCACAGTCTCCACTGCTTTCCCTTCCAAAGTGACTGAGGTCAGGGCAGAAATGGGAGATCTTCCCTCCTCCAACCCAGGTTCCCACAGCTCAGCTCCCCTCTGCTTCCTCCTCCTCCATCTAGGCCTGCTAGTCCAAGCCCATGCCCAAGAGCGCTGCAGGCATCATGACACAAAATGAACTTAAAGCTGGAAAAGCGGGAGACAGAGAGAAACCAAAATGGACAGGTCTACCCATCACCAGAAGGTGTCTGGAGAACACCCTGTTTCCTGTCATCCCTACTTTGACTACACGCTGCCTTTGGCTCTGATGCCGCTTCAAATGTTCAGAAGCTGAGGTTTGTTACCAGCAGTGAGTGCTGACCTAGAAAAGGGAATCTCCAAGTTCTAACATCTATCCAACCTGAAATGACTCTGAATTATTTGAAGTTGGTTGCATGACCTGGGTTGCAAGACACCAACGTGCCTTAGGGCCCTAAAGTGCTTTTTGCATTAACCTTGTTGTTGTGACACAGCTGTTGGGAGGGCCCCTGCCCCACAAGGTGCGAAGCACCAACCCAACCCTTCTGAAATCCATCACTGCCAGTCCCCTGGTGGTTGTGAGGGGCTCTGTACAGGATGCTGCAGATTTCCAGGATGCTCTTTATCAAGTTAAAGCAGCCTCTGGCTGTGATGACAGAGTGCAATAGCACATCTTCATCTCCCTGCTACTTACAGGGTCTTGTACTTTGCTTGATAGGCTCAGCTACCCTGGATGCATAATTGTTTTGACTTTTCTTCATTAGGGATCCCACCACCACCACCACTTTGAGCCAGGGGTGTGTGCATTTTGTACATAGGCAATTGTACCCTTTAAGGATGTAGTCTGGTATGGGGCACAAAATGTAGCCTCTTGATAAACTCAGCAAGCTTCTGGTTCTCATGAATATGGAGATACACATGAGACATGAGTGGTTCTTGTACCTTGTGAAAATCTCAAAGCCCAATTTTCACCTTTTTGTAGTTCTTGGCTTCTTTCTCTTGCTGCCTACCCCTAGCATTAAGCCCTAATCTCTCAGATCTTTTCAGCAACAGCAGAGGCTTCAGGACTAGGAAATTAGATGTTACCAATAATCCCCATTTGCTACAGCAAGCCACAGTTTTCTTTCTCTGTCCTGATGAAAACAAGGAAGAATACTGTGGCACCTTGAAGACTAGCAAACTTATGAGGAGCATCTTATTCATTGAAAAGTGAGCTACGGATCACATAAATGAATGAATGAAATAATAAATGAACAAACATGGCGTTAATACAGCTATTTGATTGTATACACTAGGGACTTAATATTCATTACGGTTTGTTTTCACACTATAAAGGTGTAATAAACCCCTATAAGAACTTTAGAATGTTTCCTCTTGGTCTTTGGGTTTTAGCTGCCTTTTCCATCTTACTTTTTTCTGCCATTTTACCTTCTAACAGGATCACCTCACAGTGCCATTGAACCCATAGCTTCAGATTTTCATGCATGCACTTTGGTGGCCTAGAATTCTCTTCGTCTAACACTTTCCACATTCCCTCTTTGGGGTCAGACTTTGGGGGTGTCATTTGGTGAAGCGGGGGGCGGACCTTGACTTGTTCACCCCTTCAATCTGCCAGTTCACACACTGGAACTGCTGTGGCTCATTTTGAACTGTTGTTGAGACATTGTAGGCCAATTCTGAATCTAAGGAGCTTCTTAGCTGGTTCCTGGCTGCAGTGAGAACTTATTTGGTCCAGAAATGGAAGACACTATAGAACTTAAACCTCCCATTGTGGTACAAGGATATGTGGGCTCTGGCTGCTGCAGAGATAACTCACAAATCACACATTTCTAAGGATAAGGAAGTCCTGGAACATTTCTATGATGTTTGATGGGATTTCATTTCATATGTATAAAATTCAGATATACAAAACTCTCCACCCTCCCACCAAATTGTGAAATTTGGCTTTCATGATCTGTTTTGTTGCTTTTATTTTTCTTCATTATCTGCTCTCTACCTATTTGGAAAAATAGATAGCATTGTACTGTTCCTATGTCTTATAATTTTGATTAGGGTTTTTTGTATTTTTGTAAATATTAGGAGAAAGAGTGTATAAAGATTTATGGATTGGTGAATATAACAGCAGTGGCTTGCCAGGCAAGGAGGCAGGCAGCAGAACCACTATGCCAGTCTCCCAGCAGGTGGGTTGCTGTTGCTTCATGAGAAGGATTGGGGAGGTGATTGGGAGGTTGGCAGAGTGCAAAGGCACCAGCAGGATTGGCTCAGCCTGATGAGATTGGTCAGTGCATTTGCACTGTGCCAACCTCCCCTCCATCCCCCCCCTCCACCTGGGAAGCAACAGTGACCCACCTGCCTGGAAAATATCTTAGTGGTTCTGCCCCTCCTGATGAGCCACTTCTGGAAAATGAAATACATTATATGGGGGAAATTCTTGCAAAAGGTGTATAGGAAAGAATATTTAGCCAGGAATGTGTATATTAGGAGAAATGTACACTGACGAATCTTCAAAAATTGTCCCCCCCCAAAAAAAAAAATGCAAAGTGATGTGGAAATGTGGCAAGCTGAAATTAAGATGGCAGAGAAAGAATCCAAGAGAAACCAGGACTGACAGCTCCATCCATCCCAATCTTCTGTCCCCGCTAAATTTTCTAACTGAAAAGCAGCACACCCATCTTGTTTTTTCAAATCAGTACTGGGGAAATGATTGCATAATAACTATGGTGTACAACAGAGTCTTGAGCAACCTGCCACAGTGGTCCATGGCATGTGTGCAGTCCAGGCACTGAGCCCCTGTGCGGGAGGAGGGTCATCATGAGCACAAAAGCATGTCCTGATTTTCATCTGTGAAATATCAGAGGCTGCACAATAGCAATTTGGAGCCATTAACTCCTTTGCTCCTTTTCTCCCAGGTGATCTACTAAGGTGGCTCTCTTTCCAGGAGAGGCTGGCTTGGAGGATCAGATGCTTTTATGGATGCCTTCTGTGCAGGCTCAAGAGGCATTGTCAGCCGTGGTCCTACAGGGCACCTATTCTGTGTGACAGTCAAGCTCCAATGCTCTGCTGCTGCACTCTCTCCCCCTCTTCCTCTATCCTCACTGTCTGTGAGCCATGCTGTTTAAAGAGCCACTGGCAAGAATGTGGTGTGTTGTTGACATAGACCCCTGCCTGGCACGTCCTGCTGGTTTCTTCCTTCCGAGTTGAAATGAATCTGCTGTTTCCATGTTAGCCAACAGTTCAGGAGTTGGAGAGCTACAGGCTCCATGACAAAACAGTGGACTGTACTGCTGGAGGGGAAATCAGTCCTTGGTGTGAGGGCCAAAACAAAGTAAAACATTGCAAGGCTCATGGGAACATGTGCTTGTTTCTTTAATTGTTAAAGTTTTCACAAGCAGGCTTTTGACTTAAAATCTCCAAGTGGTTCACAAAGTGAAGCGCAACTAGCTGCAGACAGACTAATATCATATTAAACCAAAATGAATTAAGGAATGGCCATTGCTAAAATTCTGTCAACAGCCATCAGTTTTCATACAAATGTAAGAAGAGCACTACAGGTTCAGCTCAGAGATCCACCCTGGAGGTTTCTGAGTGTTTTGGACCACAATTCCCATCAGCCCCAGCCAAAACAGCCATTTTGGACTGCAAATAACATTGGCCAGCCATGTTCACTGGAGCTGATGGGAATTGTAGTACTAAACATCTAAAGGGCACCAAGTTGGCAAAGGTTGAGCTTGTCCACAGTAGCCAATCAAATTCCTGTGGGGCACCTGGGAGCAGGGCAAGAAAGCAATAGCAGTTCTCCTCTCCATAATTAATCTTGAAAAGCTCTCTGGAAGAGGGTTGTTTGAGATGGAGCCTGAAAGCTGCCAATGAAGGAGTGAGGCAAATTTGGCGTAACAGGTAGTCAGTGAGGAACAGGTGGTGCCCAGCCTGGAATCTAAGTAAATGAACTAATAATAAAGCAGATGGTGTCTCTGAGCACACTGAGAGTACTGTCAGCAATGTGTGGTCATAAGCAGCCCAGAACTAAGAGGCCCCTTCCCCTAGGATTCACCAAGCACAGGGGAAATACCAATGGCTGTCCAGTGGGGCTACCCCAAGATACATTCTGCTTCCTGAGGTGAAAGACAAGATAGTGCCCCCTCCCAAGCTTCCCACAGAATTTCTGAAGGGCTGACGTGTGGAAAATGGAGCACACTTGTTTCCTGCTGCTCCAGAGGGTAGGACCCACACCAATGGATTCAAATTATCCAAAAGGAGAATCTGACTAAACATTAGGAAAAACTTTCTAATGGGAAGAGCTGTTTGACAGTGAAGTGGACTCCCTTGGAAGGTGGTGGTGGTCTCCACTGGTTTTGGTTTGTTTTGTTTTAAAGAAAGATTGGGTTGCCATCTGCCAGGCATTCTTCAGTGATTCCTGCATTGCAGGGGATTGAGCTAAATGACCCTTGGTGTCTCTTCCAAATCTAGAATTCTATGATTCTATGGTTATGTTTTAATCCAGACAGAGAATCTTTTGAACAGTTTAGAATTTGTTGCTAGCAGACCCCAGATTTCCCTGGTCCCCTTCTGAATCCCAGACACCACCTTTAGAATACCTGTGCAGGTAGCTTCAGATTTTTGCAGCTGAGCGCCGTCCACTCCAAGCATGCTTTTATTTCCCAGTGATTCAGAAGCACTCTCTGCTCTGAGTGCCGATTGCTCCTGGGACGGAACCCTCCAAGGCCTCTTGACTCACAGATCTAAGGCATCCCCCTTTCTCCTTATCTTCCCCATTTGAGATGCAAGGCCTCCTCAAAGATTCCTTTTCAGCTTCAAAAGCTTCTCCCGCCCCAACCTCCTTTGACTTTCAAGATGTTCTGCCCCACAACAACTCTCCTATTCAGATTTGTCACAGTTCAGACAGAGGCAACTGTAAACATGGCTTTGTTCTCTGTTCAAAATGGCAAGTAACTGATTTGAGCCTCCACTGAGCTTGGCTGAATTAGTAAGAGCCAGAAAGAGTCTCCTGTCATTGAAGGGCTTCCAGTGGAAACTTTTGTAAGCCAGTTAGTGTTAGTTCCACCCCCAAGTGGAACTAGAACTCCCCACATCTCTGACAATTGGCCATGCTGTCTGGGGATGATGAGATATTCCAATATATGGAGGGCCACGGATTTTCCGCTCCTGCATTAAGAATTATCTTATCTGGCTGGTCCAAGACAATTTGCTGCCTGAAGTAAAGGGCAAGATGGTGCCAAGTCTCCATTCTACATATAAAAGCCAACTTGACCAGAAGATGAACTTCAGCCCTGCTGATGGGGCAGCTTCCTTCACTCTACTTGAAAGCAACAAGCTGGCCTAGGAAGTGCAGGGTAGACCACATGGCACACCAACCCAATGCTATCCCTCACTCCCCACTCCCCATGGCCCCAAGCTGATGCCTGTTCAAGCAAATGGTGCAGGGTTTCCTAACTCCTCCCCAAATATGCAGACAGGCTCTTGTAAGTAAGTAAGTAAGGAGCCTTTGTTCAGGGAAGTAACGGTATAGGCTGGGCAGTGGACATGATGCAGGGCAAGAAGTTCAGAACCAGATGGAAGCGACAAAAGTGGTTCTGAGCAACAAGGCTGCATCCTCCTGTTCAGTCACAGCCTCTCTCGCCAGCTGATCAAAGCCCTCTCCAGCCACTACTGAGGTTCTCCGTTCCATAGGAAAGTCAAAGGGAAGAGCCAGCATCCCCCTTCCAAGGTGACTAAAAACAGGGTGGAAAGGGGCTATCTAAACTCCTTCAACCTAGGTCCCCCCAGGTTCCCCACCTACCCATTTCTGCCTCTTCCTGAACCGGAGCCTGCCAAACTGGTCCCAATCCTGACAATGCTGTAGGCTTCATAACACAAGGCAGCAGTGGGGCCAGCATGGATCATGTTAGTAGACCAATGCATGTGTAATGGCTGCTGGGGTACATTGCTTGGGCTGACTCTTTCAGTGAGGAGCCTTTTCCAAGCATACTAGCTGTGGTGCGCTGGGAGAAGGTCAGTGTATGAGGCAGGCAGCTCACTCCAGCCACAAGGAAGCATTCTCACCCCTGATTCATGATGTGGGGGCTTCTGGTAGTTCCAAGGGCCAGAAAGAAAGGACCACAGGGCTGCATTCAGCCTCCAGGCTTGAGGTTCCACACGCTTGGAATTCCGGGAGGGAGCCGCTGGCAAAGGGGGCATTGAAGGAGAAGGACTGGAATCACTCATGGGGATAGCTGAGAGCAAGGCTGCTGAAGGTATGCGGGGATCACTCTGCCCTGCTGTCAAGCTTCCTCTGAAACCAGTTATTCAGTCACAGCTGAGGCGTCTCAGGATAGAAATTAAATCTTTTGTGTCCCTGAGAAATAGTTGTGGAAGGTCCCTTTTTGAGAAAAAGAAAAAGGCTTTCATTGCTCACTTCTTCAAGGTGTTCCGTTGCCCGCTGCATAAATGGGGCAAGGCGGTTAAGCTGTGTGTTCCACAGTGGGGGGCTGGGAGGCTGATTTTCCCACACATTAGAAAGAGAAGCCACTTTGGTTAGCTGCTTTGAAAAAAAGCTGCTGGGTGTATTTTCTTCCCCATAAAACGCCTCGCGACAGGGTGCGGGTAGGGAAAGGAGCAAAAAAAGAGAAAAAAGATAACACTCCCACGAAAAGCTCAGACAGCGTCTTTTGCAGCTCTCATGTATATTAATTACCATGAATATTTATGGCAACTTTCTTGCTCCAGAGCACTTCCTGCTCTTGTAGAATCTTTTAATTTCCAATGTTAGTTCATAAAGCAAAAGTAGAGTGGCATTATATGCCAGGGTGTGTGGTTTTAGAATCTAAAGTTTAGATCAGAAGCAGATCTGGGGTCACAGCTGGCCCACAGGCTAATTTCATGAGAGAGGGGTGAGAACGAGTGCAGAAAGAAAGAGAGAAAGGGATGGCCCACATCTATCTATGACTCTCTGGCCCCTGACAGATTACTGACCAAGGGAATGTGACTTTCAATCGAAAAAACGATTATCCACCCTGGTTTGGATGGTCTTGTGAACTTTCTTCACACCCAGACTTTCCTGATGGATGTAACAAACTGTCAGTCACCTACAGAGATCTTGACCCAAGTAAGATTAATGCTAGAAATTCTAGTTTCTAGGATAGGCATATTGCTGGACATCTCCCTTCAACCCCTCCCTCTTGGCCATGCTGGCTGGCGCTGATGGGAGCTGGAGTCTCATTTGCCACCTCTGATTTAGGGTTGCCAAAGGGGATCCTGCTGCCATACGGACCCACCTGCTGCATTCCGTATTATGTCATAAGGATGGAGATAGGATGCAGATCTCTGGCTTACAATTTGGCTTGGAAATAACT